TCTCAGTTAAACCTTGGCGGGTTTGTACATTCTTCGTGTTATGACGTTATGTAGATTGATTATTGATTTTAATGAAATGTTTTCATATTATAATACTTCCAGAATTGCAATATTTTCATGAACCTTACTCTTAGTCATTGCTATATTTGTATTTTTGTGCTTCAAAACTGGCTGACGCTTTTGCAGAGTTGGTCCAATGTCTGGACAACAGAAGTTTGTCTCTTGTCATTCGGGAGGCGAAAGACAATGAACGGAGAGCTTTAGAAATTTTCAGACATCACTATGAAGGCAGAGGAAAACCTCGCGTTATCACTCTTTCCATGGAGCTCACTTCGCTGTACAAAAGTGACGACGAGACTGTCACAGATTATATATTAAAAGCGGAATGATCGGCAACAGCTTTAAGAGAAGCCAAGGAGATAATAGGTGATGCACTACTCATTGCAATGGTTTTAAAGGGTCTGCCAAGCACATACGATGCCTTTGCTACCGTAACAGTTCAAAGGGAAAGACAAATGACATTTACGGAATTTAAAAACTCGTTACGAAGTCATGAAGAAAATGTCAAACCGTTAGGTGATAACGTTATGTACGTGAAACCAAAATTTGACGGAAATTATTTCAAATGTGCATGGAAGAAAGGGACACAAAAGCTCACAATGACGAGTGAAAGGGAACAAATGGTGCTCCATATGCAAGACCAAGACCCACGACACGAAAGATTGCCGAAAGACGAAAGAAACGTCCAAGTCAGCTAAAAGGGCAGCGCTGTGACAGTGAACGGCAACACTTCTTTTTATTCGTGTCAAAGGATGGAGAAGAGAACGCTTAAACGGACGTGAAGGATAAAGATCAAGCGAATTTAACACGACTGGTGGACACAGGAGCTGCAAGTCACATTATTAATGATAAGTGAAAATTTATAGATTTTGATAGTAAATTTGATAGTAAAGCGCATGTTATTGAATTAGCAGATGGCAGTAAGGCCAACGTAGTAGTCGGTAAAGGTACAGCTAAAGTCAAATTAGTTGACTTGCATGGAAATGCGCAGGATGTCTTATTAAGTAATGCCTTTTATGTCCCATCTTACGATCAAAATATATTCTCGGTAAATGCTGCTGTATAAAAGGAGGCAAAAGTCAAATTAGATAAACACAATATGCATGTACAGTGCCCTGATGGCTCAATGTTTGGAATAAGACAAAAAGGCAAACTTTACTAAAGAAATAGCATATTATCTTGGAATAAAAATGCATGTTCCCTTTACGAGTGGCACAATGTTCTAGGTCACTGCAACTACAAGGATGTTAGGAAACTAGAAAAGGTGGTTAAGGGGATGAAAATCACAGACTTGAGGGAAGTTGAGTGTGAGGTTTGTACGCAATGTAAAATGTGTCAAACGAAAAGTAAGCTGGAAGATAAAAAGGCGAGGGTCCTCTTGAGTTTATTCACACCGATCTTGCAGGTCCCATTGATCCGGAAGGAAGAGAAGGGTTTAGATATGCATTGTCGTTTGTGGATGATTTTTCAGGATTGAATATGGTCTATTTTCTGAAGCATAAAAGCGATATACCACAAGCATTAAAACAGTTTTTAGCAGATGTTGCACCTTACGGAAATGTGAAGCGCATAAGAATTGATAACGACACTTAATTTAAAACAAGAAATTCAAATCGATTCTTAGGGAAAACAAAACTAGGCATGATAGATGATGAAAAACTTGCACCTCAGATAGCAAAATTGCATGAAAGAATCCCCAAAACAACTAAAGAAGACATTAGTGCTCCAGAGACATCTAGAGAATCAAGATACCCCACTAGGATAAGAAGTAAGCCTAAATATCTTGACAAGTATGTGACAGAAGAAGTTTCAGGGGAGGTTACTGTCTCATATACCGTAGATTATTGCTATAGAGTATCCAACGTCCCAACGATCTATTCCCAAGCAATAAGCTCCAATGAAAGAGTAAAATGGCAAAAGCCATGAATGACGAAATGAAAGCGTTAATTGAACATGATACGTTTGAACTTGTTCCACCCCAACCAAACAGAGACATAGTGGATGAAAATGGGTATACACCGTAAAAGTAGGGCAGCATTTCGTAAAATAGTAGCGAGAGACTTGCCGAGCGGAAATCGAATTTTCCATAATTTCGTAAAAGCACTATTGCCAATACACATTTAATATAAAAGCCAATTTTTGAAATTAGACATGTTTCGACATCTTATGATGCCATCTTCAGTATGAGTAAAATAATAAGTGATACAAGGTTTATGTAAAAGTAATATGATACATAAATTACAACAATAAAAGGAAATAAGATAAATTAATGGGGAGCGTACGAACGTATTATAAACTAAATAATGTATTGAATTTAAAAACTTGAACATTGAGGTCAGGGTTAGTTTTGTTAAAGTGGAGTGCTTCTTTGAGTTTAAGGGTGAATGAGGTGTCGGCAGTCTCGACGATTTTCAAGCAAGAGGGTGAATAGTGGTTTCACACCCCTTTCATACAAAACCGGACTTATACGCACACTAATCGACAGAGCATACAAACTTAACAGTACAAACAATGGTTTTCAACGAGACATAAAAACATCACATCCACTCTTTTACCAAACTCTTTCCCACTTCACTTTATTAACAGAACCGTAAAACGATATCTCGACAACAAACAAAGCAACGTATAATATAAAACAAATTCCGAAGAAACAAGACATCTTGAGATTGCAAAATATGAATCAAAACAAGACGAGAAGTAAACTGTAAATTTTCGACTTTATTTCAAAGTCATCCTCAGACAGAATGATATTTAAAACCAAACATACACATATATATTTAGAACGCATGAAATAAGTAAACGGAAATAATCAATAGAAATTAAATAGTGTGATATTTACAATGAGTTGGAAGAGGTGTAGTATTACAAAAGATGAATTGAAACTGCTGACCCGACTGGTAGAATGAGTGTGTTATAAATTAAGAAAAGAGTTGTAATTCTTTACTAGCCTTAAGTCCCGTTTTTAGAAAAGGTTTGTTATGTTTAATGAGTAGTGCTTCAAGAAAAGCAAGAATGTGGTAGTTGTTAGATTTGGTTGAGTGAAGTATTTTATAGTTGTTGAATACAAGGTTTTCTATAGGAGAGGGTTCTGGGAGGGAGGGAGATCATTGAGTTGTGAGAACTGGTTTTGTAGAGTCGCCAGGAATTGAGCGTTTTCGCACTCAGAGAAATGCTGGCCAACTGCACTAGAAGAGAGTCTGGTTGCATGTTCTCTGAGCCGTACAGACAGGCATCTTTGTGTCATGCTGATGTACGTTTTACCACAGCCAGAGCAAGTTATTTCATATATAAGATTACTGAGAGAAAGTGAAGGAAGTTTGTCCTTGTTAGAGACAAAATAGGACAGTTTTAGTGTCATAAATAGTAATAAATTTCACCGGTTGAGAAAGAAAGCAAGAAACAAAAGCAACAACCTCAAACTAAACACCAAAACTACTGACACGACGATCACAACCAACACAAATGAAAATTCCAAAATAACAACTCTATACTTCAAACTACCACACATCGGACATTACTCGACACACACAGCGCAGACTTACAAACATTATGAAACGCTTCTGTACAGATATTGACATTCGACTGATTTTCATATCATTCAAAATCAAAAACCTTTTCTCATTAAAAGACCCAATCCCTGATTCAATTAAATCTATGGTGGTATATGACTTCAATTGCGCGGGATGTAATTCCCGATAAATTGGCGAAACTTCACGCCATTTACCCACCAGAATCAGGAACATGCCACAACAGACAAAACTCTCATATCTACCGACACCTTCTTAAATCTCACTCATGTAAAACCAATTATTCACCCTCTTGCTTCAAAATCATCGACACTGCCGACACCTCATTCACCCTTAAAATCAAAGAAGCACTCCACATTAACAAACTCCACAAAAATAACCCTTTAATGTTCAAGTTTTAAATTCAATATAATATTTATTTTATAATACGTTCGGACGCTCCCCATTAATTTATCTTATTTCCTTTTATTGTTGTAATTTATGTATCATATTACTTTTATATAAACCCTGTATCACTTATTATTTAACTCATACTGAAGATGGCATCATGAGATGTTGAAACATGTCTATTTTCAAAAAAGTTGTCGTTTATATTAAGGCCCTGTCTACACGTATCCGGATAAATTTGAAAACGCAAAACTTTTTTTATGGATGTACGTTCCGTCCACACGTATCCGGATAAAACGCCCACACAAACCGTATACTTTTGAAAACGCTATCCAGAGTGGAATTTTTGGAAAACGGAAAAAAATTAGTCTCGTGTGGACGGGTGAAACCGTAAAAATACAGAAGCGATGACGTATAACTATTATTTGGTCAAACATGGCGGAAACACGAAAGGTTGTTGCGATATTGATTTGCCTTATTTCAAGCATAATATCATGCGTCCAGCTTTATAATGCGGTGTTGAATTCTCACGGAGAATATATTCGAAATCGTATGAATATTATTCGTGAGCTTTCGTTGCTTGGGTACCGGAAGGGGGATTGTCAAGCGGTTAGGCAAGAAGCGTCAAAGGAAAAAACGAAGATTTTGGATTCGACCTGGAAGAACAAATGCTTGGTGGAACGGTTTTATACGTGAACTAGTAGTCCCAGAAGAATGGCGAGAAAATTTTAGAATGTCTTGAGTTTCCATTGACAGACTAGCCGAAGAATTAAGACCCTACATCCAAGGGGAAAAAACTATCATGAGATCTCCTGTTGATGTGTTGACCCAAGTTGCTATCACACTGTATTATCTCAGTGATGAAGGTCGTATGAGAAAGACTGCAAATGCGTTTGGAATTTCTCGACAGACCGTTTCCAAAATTGTGAGAAAGGTATGCAAGGCAATAACAATACACCTTGGACCAAAGTATGTAACATTGCCATTTACTGAAGAGAATGTGCAAGAAAAAGTGAACAATTTTTACAGAGCACATGGTTTTCCACAGTGCTTGGGTGCAATTGATGGAACACACATTCCAATAAAGCAGCCACGACAAAATCCTACTGACTATATTAACCGAAAAGGTACTTACAGTTTGAATGTGCAAGCTATATGTGACCATAAATACTGTTTTATGGATGTGGATGTGAAATGGCCTGGAAGTGTGCATGATGCAAGTGTTTTTTCAAATTCCAGCCTAAACCAATTGTTGAAGAATGGCAAGATACCACCATGTCAACGCAAGATTTTAACTGATGAAGATCCAGTTCCTATTTTTATATTAGGCGACCCTGCATATCCATTAATGGTGGGTCTAATCAGCAGGAACAGTATTTCGGTATGACTTTGTGCCAATCAAGGATGGTCATTGAATGTGCTTTTGGTAGACTCAAAGCTCGATTTGCAGCTTTAAAGCGTCCAATGGATATTAATTTTGATGAGCTACCTTTTGTGGTGTATGCATGCTTTGTACTACATAATTTTTGTGAAATTAGTGGTGAAAGAATTGCAGAAGAAAAGGTCACTGCTTCTGTCGAGTATGACAAACAATTTCAGCCAGTTATTGCCAACAATAAATTCAGAACTGACTGTAATGAAGCTGAAGGTAAAAAAATCAGAAGGATATTGACAAGGTACTTTGATCCATAGACAAACCAAAACTTCAATAAACAATGATTTAACAAAACCTATTTTTTATTTTAACCCAAACTATTTTCATCTCACTATGCAATATTTGTTACTAAGTAACTACAACCTTATAAAATATACATATCACTCTATGTTCATTTCAGTAATGAATATTATATTAAAAAATTTTCATTTGTAAACTGACTAAAGTGCAATGTGCTATTTTCTACATTCATGGGTTGTGCAGCCTGTGGTCTGTCCCATTTGCTGTTGTAACCAGTAAGCGAAGTTGCAAATGGGGAGGTAATGGTTGAGGATGCAGCATTACTTGGCGAAGCATAGAAAAACCTTCCACAATACACCCAGTAAGTTGTTCCATATTTTGCGAGAATTTCTTCATTTGGGTAGCCTGCTGCTTATCCACTTCGTCAATCTTTTCAAGAAGACGTTTTTTTATTTCAAGATCTTCTTGCATGGCATTCAGGAGTTGTTCGTCTGTTGATAACTTTCTCTTTAATCTGTTTTGTCTATAATTCTTCAATTTAGAATTTAAAAATTCTCTTTGTTCAGAAACACAGTTTCGTTCATTTTCTTCATCGTCAAGAGTAGGTATTTCGGTATGAGGGCTGCTGGATGTTGAGGAAGCTATGGGTGTACCAATAGAGTTGGCGGGACTGGGACATATTAAACTTGAGTCAAACTCTTGTTGAATTTCTTGCGTCTCTATTCCAGATGCCATTGTAGTCGTAGCTGGTGAGCCTCTCCATATTTCCTGACATTTCTCGAAATAAATCAGCACAACTCTTCCATGCCCACTTTTCTTACCACAATCAACAGCAGCGCGGAATTTGAGTCTGATAGCTTTTAGTTTTGAAGTAATAATTGAGTTATTGACTTCATTATTCTGTTGGGGAAACTCTTTTTCAATTTGGGCTGCATCATGTTCAGATGGATATTGAGCGAGGAGTAAATTCAAAATATCAGAATATTTAGATTGGCATGTCTCCCAGTCAACATTCTCCGCAGTTCTTGCAGTTTTGTACTCTAGAACAACGTTTAAAAGGAGCTCCACTTCATCGCCCGTCCACACAAAGTTTTCGGTTTTGCTCTTCTTGGATTTGGACGAATTTTCTAATTCGTTTGACATAATTTTTGAATTGTATTTAATAACAATGCGCAGAAGAATGTCAAGTGTCAAGAAAGAACATATACGTACACGTTATTTGCAGGCTCATCTTGTCTGAAGCGCATGCTCAAATGGAATTTTATCAGTGTTGTCAAATTTATCCGGATACGTGTGGACGGGCGAAAACGATCCGAAAACGATTACGTGTGGACGCGGAAGTTTTTAATACCGTAAAAAAAGTTTTGCGTTTTCAAATTTATCCGGATACGTGTAGACAGGGCATAAATGTGTATTGGAAATTCGTGTAATAAAAATTAATGCCCAACATAAAGTTCTGATTAGAGCCATAGAAATAGACCAAAAAAATTGTAAAATTGAATTTATCGTAACGTTTCGTCTTTACTCAAGACATCTTCAGACAAATAATAAATAGGATGTTAAGACAAGATATTATATTTACATAAAGGTGTTAAATTACTTCTGAAGAAGGCGGTGTCAAATGGATCATATGATAAAGAAGTTAGGAAGTAAAATAAAGAGGAATTAAAAAAGGTTAAGTTGAATGAAGGTTCCTTGCACGTTAAGTAAAGGCTTGTATTTATTAGTTAGAAGGCTTTCATGAATGGGGAGAGCTCATAAGAATCGTTAGAAGAGGCGATTATTTTAAAGTCGTCTAAGTTGGGGGTGTTTCTAGTTGCGTTAATGTGATCAAAGATGCTTGATAACGCAGGGTGAGAAACTTGGTTGCCTGTAAGGGGGGATATTCCAAAGTGCTTCTAAAATCTGGTGTGTAGATGACGTGTGGTTTGACCCACATACGAGGCGTTGCAGCTTCGACAGTTGAATAAATAGACTACACCAGATCTGAGAGGTTTGGGAATTTTGTCCTCAAGGGGAAGAAAGAAGAGATACGTTGGGAAGGGCGGAAAACAAATTTAATAGATATATGTAGGAAGGCTGCAGCACAAAGGCTATTGATTTGTGTACGAATTTGAAGGGAGTGTATGCCAGTGAAAGGAAGACAAAAATAGCTGGGCATTTTGTGAGCAGTCAAGACAGGTGTTTTGGGGGCAAAGGTGTTGTTAAGGAAGCCACGTGTGATTTGGTCAATTATACGTGAAGGAAAACCGTTTTTGGTGAGTGACTTTCTTGTAAATTCAAGTTGTGAATGAAAATTTTCGTAAATAGAACAAAGGTTGAAGATGCGGTGACCACACATGCGGTGACCACACATGCGGTGACCACACGTCATCTACACACCAGATTTTCGGAGCACTTTGGAATATCCCCCCTAACAGGCAACCAAGTTTCCCACCCTGCGTTATCAAGCATCTCTGCTCAAATTAACGCAACTGGAAACACCCCCCAAAACACGACTTTAAAATAATCTCCTCTTCTAACGATTCTTATGAACTCTCCATTCATGAGAGCCTTCTAATCAATAAATACAAGCCTTCACTTACCGCACAAGGAAACTCCATTCGACTTAACCTCTTTTAATTTTTCTTTAACTTCCTAACTTCCTTATCATATAATCCATTTGACACCGCCTCCTTTACTAGTAATTTAACACCTTTTTGTAAATATAATATCTTGTCTTAACATCCTATTTATTATTTGTCTGAAGATGTCTTGGGTAAAGACGAAACGTTACAATAAATTCAATTTTACAATATTTTTTGGTCTATTTCTATGGCTCTAATCAAAACTTTATTTTGGGCATTAATTTTTATTACACAATTTCGTAAAAGCACTATTACTAATGCGCATTTAATATACACGACAAGTTTTTTAAAATAGACATATTTCGACATCTCATTATGCCATCTTCTGTATAAGTGAAATAATAAGTGATTGGGTTTATGTAAGAGTAATATGATACATTAATTTATCTTATTTTCTTTTTATTGTTGTAATTTATATATCATATTACTTTTATATAAACCCTGTATCACTTATTATTTCACTCAAACTGAAGATGGATTCATGAGATGTCGAAACATGTCTATTTTTAAATAACTTGTCGTGTATATTAAATGCGCATTAGCAATAGTGCTTTTACGAAATTATCCATGAATATCTTATTTCCTTTACTACCTCGTGACCATGCACATGATGTGTATCGATGTAGAACATTACTATTGTAGCGACGAATCAAGCTTAGTCATAGTTGTTGTGCGTCAACGGATATACGATGTGAGTAAGCACAACGCGCTACTAAGCCAACACAAGCCCAACCAAAAGCATGAAAGCACTATAACGCGCTTAGAAGGAACTAAGTCATCCCACTATTACGTGCAGGATATGACGGGGAACACTCCCTTTAGTTATTATATAAAGACAAGACCAGAGATGAATAGAGGATAGCAGAATTCAATGTAACTCGTATAATTAAATATAATATAATAATAATAACGATACGTGGCAAGTGTATGTTTTCCTGGCGCAAGTGCATATACCGAGGGACATGAGGATCCAAATCTGACCGTTCTACGGCCCAACGTTACACTATTATATAGTAGAAATTTATTTCTTTTTATTATTATATAAAGATATATGAAAGTTAACAAGTTAAATTTCCAAACTTGATTCGAGCTAGTTCCAAAATCTCACCAAAATCAACAAATATATCTTTATAAAACATTTACATACGTACATAACGCGGAAGTAGAATTTTTTTACAGGAAAACAAAATAATCGATAAATGGACATGAAACATTAAATCACAAAATCAAAATACAATATAACAACGAAAGATAAAGTTTAAAGTCAACATACCTTTACAAATTCAAAAAGATTTCAAGACACAACCAACTACATGATTTCTCAGCTGCGGCGTTCTCGTCGATTCTGTGGAATAATTTAAATGATTTACGTTTCCGGTCACGTGAGTATGTCACCCTACCCCTAGGAAAAAGGCTCCTTTATACCTAGGAAAAAGGCTCCTTTATACCGGAACAAAAACGCCTTTCATCTTACCAACCAAACAAATAACCATTGAGTTCTATAATAACTGGAGGGGAAACGTCAACCAAATTACTATAAATCATTAGCGCGCGGCCGCGTGGTCAAAAACATGGCGGATTTTGGTTGTCAAAGTCAGCGGAAAGACGCGGGCTCATAAAATGAAATTTTTTTCGCCCACCCGGATTTGACAACCACAATTGCGATTATATAAAATATCAATGCCAAGCACAAAAACTTTTAGAAATTTTATCTTTAAAACATGCTGCAAACTTGTTTGGTATACGGATGCTGAAGTAATGCCAGAAAAGGAAACATTTCATGATACCGGTAAGCAACGTAAGATTGTTTACCATTTAAAGTGTTCAGTGTTTTGTTTTAAGTCAATACTTGAAGTGTGATGGTATATATTTTGTGAGTGTTTTTACTCCTAAGTTATAATTTAAGTTATGTTTATCCAGTCTTATTTGTTCTTTACTTAATCGATTGCTAGACGAGGCAAAGCAACCAGTTCTTATCGAGATATGCATATCTTAAAACTCCTTGTTTCAACTGAGTTGAAATGGAGGATTTTTTCATGATATTTTTCTGAAAATATGAAGCAAATATTAAGGACAGAGCTGTATTGAAATCAAATGCAGTGCAAGATTAATTAATGAGCTCTTTGGTACATGTCGTACAATAAAAAATATCTGTATTAAACAGCTAGCCTGGACAATTTGACAGATTATGTACAATCATGATGATGGTGTGTAAAGGTTTGCTTTATGCTAAAAGTTTTATAAATGCCATCTGGTGTTTCTCTAAATGAACTGTTTGTTGTAGTAAACAGGTTAGTACATGAAAATCAAGATAAAAATCAAAATAATGTGCCGAATTATGCTCCTACCTTGAAATATTTGCTCAAGAAAAGCTTATCATGACATGCATGAAACATTAAATACAGTACTGCATCATCTGACAAAATCCATACGTTTTTCAATTCCAGGTGATTAAAAATTCACATAAGATGCATTGGTTGCAATGAAGTTGAATGTGGAAGAAGCAAAATTGATGGCAAAGAACTTTTATGTCTTTTGAAGAATTACGATATCATTTAAAAGAATAAGAGTAGCAATCTAGTAAAAGAAGCCACATCTGCCTTCAACATGAGACTTTTCCAATTATGTATAGTTACTTTGTACAAAATATTATTTTAGATAAACTTGATTTTAAGTCATTCACTGATATTTTTACCAAAAGACAAAAAGAAAAATTCAAAGGCATAATGTAAAATTCAAAAATTGTCAAGTTGTTTGAACCTAGAAAAAATTAGTATAGTAACTGTAATTTGTAAGGAAACAAAGAAAAGTAGTGCAAGAAGGTTAGCATTTTTGAGAATTAATAAGTTCTTGACATACATTACACAAGGCCATAATATTATAAATAATGTCTGTATAATAACAATTATACAACATGCTAAATATCTTCACCTACATTATAATTATTTAAACAGGTTTGCCTTCATGCAGCAATAAGAAAAGTGTTATGTCAGAGAAACAATGCACTTTGATTTAAGAAATAGTATTTTAAATGGGAAATTAATGTAGTTCTGTTCAGTAGTAGATCCATGGTTGTCAATAACAATCCAGTTTCTAATATCTTGGCTCAAAACAGAACCAGCAACATGATTATAGAATTTCTGAATTTCGTTCTTTTGCTCTTCTAGTTCAAGATATTTTCCTCATAAGTTCTCAGTAGATTTATCAGAATATCATAATACTTTATAAGACACCCAGAATCAATCCTACCAAAAAACTCAAAAATTACATACCTACTTATAATATATTTCCAGTCGACTTAAGTCGTAGGGGTAAGCTAACTTTTTCTAACTCCTTTTTGGACATTTTAACTAAGATTTACCCATCTATTCAAGAAAGACAGTTCCACCAAGCTGTTTACAAATAGTCAAAAACACAAGTATTGCGCATGGGATTATGCATTAAAGCTTAACGACACATTGACAGTGTAAAGAATGCCGTTTGATATTTATTTCTAATATAGCTAAAGCATTACTTGAAAACATATACGCTATTTTACAGTAGATTTACCTCTTTTAAATGTGTGTGTCTATTTCACAAAAACCTGAAGCATTATTTTCAATATTTGATGCTTACGATATCGTGGTTGTTTTCGCTGGTTGTCATTAATACACACAGGAATAGACATCCGGATTCGGGAGGGAGCGAATGTTAAAAATTTTTCTCAAAGTGGAAGTTTTGACAACCAAAATCCGCCATTACCGCCATGTTTTTGACCACGAGGCCCAGGCCCCTTTGCCCCTCCAGGTCTTATAGAGCTCAATGCAAATAACCCAACTCGTCTTATGAGACGTGGCTAAAAGCCGGTAAAGTACGGGTACAAAACGTCGGCAGGTAGTCGTGGGAGATACATACGTTGTACTTTGGTCGTTTAACTTATGTTATTGTGTCATTGGTAATATCGATAATATTTTCTGATTTGTGATTTTCTTGCTGGTAATTTTAAAAGATGCCAAGGTACAGCAAATAACGGCCTTATAGCTGTTAGACTTTTCAACATTTATTTTCATTTTATAGATTTTTATGATAATTTTTGTAGGAGCAATAAAAGGTTTAAAGCAACTGTAGCTGTCACATATCATGATGTGGATGGCCATGTTGAGAGAGAGGAGGTGGATTTGTCAGAATTTGCAGCGATTGTGGTCCAATGGCAAAGTATTGTGAGAACTGTATGTTAAAGATGCACACAACCGTAAATATTTGTCATCATGTTGAAATATTTAAGGTAACATTTATGAGCTAGATATTATAAAAGTGTTTACAGTTAACTCTCTCAGCACTTGCAACAAAAAATGCAAAAATAAAATGAAGCTTTACATTTTGAAACATGCTACGAAGCAGTAACCTAATATTTTTTATGAGTGCAAGAAAGGGGATTGATTACAACTAATTTCTACGAGGTTATTCATTGCTTTGTAGGATGGCATGTTTTGGCAATATAAACTCATGAAAATGCTGGTGTATGATTGTTCATGCCAAACAGCTCGTCACAAAAGAAGTGTTTCTGTTGTTGATGTTAAAGGTATGTTATATGTAAAATGTGCTGCAAAAGTTTTTTCATTTTAGCAGGGATGGTCCAACACAATTATAATTTTGGATCTTTTTCAATTTTTAGGCACCTTTTCTACTGTTGAGGTACAGTTTTGCTCATGCTCTCTAGAGTTTGTTCAACTTCTGCAATTTGGCCTTTGGGGTGGAACACCTACAAAAAACCAAGAATTGCATTTGCAATTGAGTTTTTTTGAATTGATTCATTCTGTGCATATGGAATGCCAGGAATCAATAAAAAGCATTTGTCAGTCATTTGAAGAGTTTAATCATAACCACATATTCTCTTCTTATGCAACACCAAAAATGTATCCTGTCATTATAGATGCTTTTGAAGAATATAGGTAACTGCATGTAGGTCACTGATTTATTGCACTGCTGTACTACGTATGAATTGCTGGGAAAGTTGCAGTCAATTTTATAGCCTAAGGATCTCATCTTAAGAGATGTATTTAATTGGAGGGAATCAAAATGATAAAGTTTGTGATGGGAAAGGATTTTTCCTCAAGTATTACTGTCTTGCACTGTATTTTGTTTATGTCATTTGTTTAAGAGTGCATAATTGCTTTCTTTGTGTCATTGTTTTTTTCAGAATTTACAGACATAAACTAAACATGTTGAGCTGTGTTATTCCTGAGCTTGATGAAGGAAATATCTGTCCTGCTTGTCCCAAAGTGAGTATATTCGTATTACTTGTTTAACAATGACAATTTAGTAAAAAGAACATTAGCAATGCTATCTCAAACACCTTTTTGACTGCATCATTTGCATCATTGAATTCAAATACATTGCATTATTTTATCCTTCATCATTTTATTGAAGACTGATTGTGTGACTTTGAGTCTCTTGATGCTCTATTTATTGGAAATTTTACAAGTTGTTGCTGTGTTTTCATTTTCTGGTAAAATCCCTTTTTGTAGTGTATTCCAAAACTGTGGTAATACATATGCCAGGTTAACAACATTATCTGAGATCCAACATCCAAGTACAATCCATAAGTACAACAAAACAAACAAACAACATTTATATACCGGCCAGTATTAATCCCCGCCAGGGGGGTTGACTGGTCCATGAATTTCCACACATCTCTATCTCTATCTCTCGTTATACCCATCGCCTTCATATCACTGTTCACAGCATCCATCCATCTCTTTCTCGGTCTACCTCGTTTGCGGACTCCATCAACATTCATATGCAACGTTCTACGAATTTCAGCACTTTCTTCCCTCCCCCAAACCACCTCAAACGCTGGCGTCTTACCCAATTCTCGATACACTCAACACCAACTCTTTCTAATCTCTTCACTTCGAATCCTATCCATCAACGTTACACCACACATCATCCTAAGCATTCTCCTTTCCGTCGACGCCAATCTTCTCAGGTCCTCTGCTTTCGGAACACTCTGCTCCATATCCCAAAACACTTCTAACACATTATACAATTCTCCCTTCTGCTTCGAAGTCGACTTTCCGCACAAGTATGCTGCTGTAATGTGTGGGATTGCTTAGGTATATTGATGGAATATTCTTTGTGGTTGGCTTAGAAAATGATAGCATGCTCTTGAAAAAGGCTTTGTTATAGCTTGATAGAGCCATCATAATCATTACAACCACGCCACAAACATTTCTACATGTTTGGAATGGATACACTTTAACAATTGTGCACTTGTGTCCTCCTCTAACCTGGCATCTGGTATCAGGATCATGTCATTGTTACTGAGTAGTTGGCTATGCTGTCGCAAATATTATGTGCCTTGATGAATTTATCTAAAATGTGTAGAAGAGTGTTAGGAAATTGCCAGCCTAATGAATCCCATATGTAATGTTTTGTCATTAGTGTCTACATAGCAAAGTACCTAATGGTTTCCGGGGTGCAAATCATCTCCAAGGAATGTGTTGCCATTGCTTTTTTTTACCAACATTTATGGCAAAACAGAAATTTGAAATGAATTCATATTTAGCATGGTGTTGGGCTGTTGTGGGTGGTTTTGTTCCATTGAGGTACACATAATATGTATCTGTTTTCCTTTGGTTTAGGTTTGTTGTCAACCAGCATATATGGTCACTTGACACCCATCTGTCAACACATAACCTGGACATCTCATTGGATGACAATCCTCGTTCTTTCATAATCTCACTGTATGGGGTTCTGTACAAAAGCTTCTGAAAGGCTGTAATTGAAGCAGCTGATGGATGTTCCACCACCGTGTCTGGTTTGTTCAATGGTCGTGAAAACCAGGCAATTTCCTCTTCGACTTCTACTTGTATGCTTTTAAGGTGTGAAATTTTGCAGATTGGTGATGCAATTGATATCTAACCTTCCTTGTGATGTGTTGATACATGCTCCTTTGCTTGTACTTGATGCCTCAACTATTTTTCTCCATTGTTGCAACTGGTCCATACTTGGCATAGATGTTACATGGCAAGGATCAACAACTGAATCATCATCTGTACTGCAATTTACACCTTTGGTAAACCATTTCTCAATCTTTGGCAACAAAGACTCAAAAGCCTGACCTCTAGTTAGCTTGCTCAGTACGGGCTCTATCTTTTTTGAAGCTTTTTTGAGAGACAAAACCTCCAAATAAATTATGTACATATAATTAACAAAACTAATTTCCATTTCTATATTATGAATTTTAATGCAGACTTTAATCCTATGTCATGTCAGGGCCTATATTCATGTTGCCTTGCACCCTCATTGCACTGCAAAGGTCTGAACTAAATAACCTAAATAACTGCATAAAATTTGCAAGTAGTGCAATGCAGTGGAAGTTCCGGGTAAGTCAGAATATGTTTATGTTTAGTAGCTTATTATAAATTTAAAATACTATAATAACAACACTGCTGATATTGTTATAATTATTACCAATTATTTCCAAAATATTGCCAATACGGCAGTTGTCAAGAGTTTCATGTATTCTGACTTACTCTGCAGCGAAAGTAGTGTTTGCAATTCAGTTAATGTATGTGCATATGCTTAGTGTGATGAAGCAATTAAACTTGCAATACCTTCGTATTGTTATTCCACATACCGCTTTTCACGAATAATAAAGAACTTAAAACGTTAAGATATTTAGCTTTATTATAGAGCAATACAATGGAAGGAGAACAAGAAAGTTGACAATGCGCATACGATGATGTTTTTACAAAAAAGATAAAGTGGGTAAAATCGTATTTCGCGGCAAGACGATAAAACAATTCGCGCGTAACGATGGTGACATTTAATATTTATCTTTCAGTTTACGTTTCACGTGACAAATTTCAATATGGCGTCTGTGCTCCGATCTCTCGATTTAGCTGCAAGTGCCAAATCATTGGTGTCTTATCAAAGTGATTATTCTGATGAAGAGAGAAGTAATAATGATAAATCTAAAGAAGATGAAAAGTCAATCGAGAGAACTGTCAATATGGATGGTCTAAAATCTAAGTTTCTTTTAAACAGTGCGCCAATTGTTGATGCTAAGGTAAAGTGTAATAGTTTTTATCCAAAGTCCTAACTAGGCAACTACCAACACCAAAGCAAAATCTATGATACGATTTGCTATGCTTTAAAGAAGGAATTGATTGGAAAAGACACATCGATCCTTCAATGAAAGAAGTTACATTTAAGGCAAAGTATGACGAACTCTTTTCTGCTTCGGTACGTTAATAATTTAATCATTGTCACCATTTACATGCACATGGACAAAATCATGATTTTGAAGAAGTCTACTATTTTAGGTTGGACCTCAAAATCCATTTAAAGCGAAGCAGCAAAGAGCACATAAAAATATGTTGTCTGGCTATGTTAAGCCAGCTCATATCAGTAAATTTCAATTTGATAATCAACAAAAACATTTTCAAGTTACGGTTAGAGGAAAAGCAAGCATAGTTTGAGAAAAAATGTATTTGTTAATGAGTTATGTGTGATCTTTTTGTTTTTAATAAATCACAGGTTATGCATTAGATCCAAGTGATGACACAGCTCACATTGAAGAGAAGTTAGTTGCAATATATGTATATAATATTGTTACAATGTGCTTATAGCATAACTATGATATAGCATACATCTTCAAAGATAGTCATGTTAGTGCAGGAACGCACATCTCTCCAAAATTTTATGTGTTTTACATTGAAGGGATGATTTATTGTAGTGTAGATTGATACTAAAACCCAATGCAAACCAACTTTTTCATCCTTTATTAGTTTTTGGACTAACTTTTTACACATAATTCACAATATGTAGAGGGTATTAAACATTCCTACATCAAATATGCTCCTCAGTGAATGCATCAAGTCTGGAATAGGATAATGCTGAAGTATTATATCACTCAAGTACTTTGAAATGATTCAAGCTGATGAATGTTTATTTGAGTGGAATATGATGAATGTGCTTTGTCATGAAATTACCTTAAAACATAATGTAGTACATGGCTCTTAATTATTAGTAAATAGACTTGGTAATGTTTTATGTTTATATCAATTGTTATCCATTAAGATTTGTTGGGGTGTTGAGAAAGCAAAGGATAGCAAGGGATTGACTGTGTTTGAAGCTACAAAACAGCAGGTGGGAGATAAGAGGAAGAGAGAGATAGGGAGATCCTGGTGTGATTGATGGATACAAGGGTGCGATTACTACAATAATCATAACTTTTGAAAGGTTGTCCTACTATCTCTTATTCTCTGTTATCCTATAGGACCATGGAGTAAGTTTGTTGATGAAGAAACTATTGCTAAACCATCTGAGGTATTTCAATTACCCAAATAAAGAGTTTTATAAAGATATTTTTCAAATCAAACAATTATTTTTCTGGCATTTTACCTTGGTAAATACAGGAAGAGTCAACAATACTTGAGGAGTATGAATTATCGAAGAAAAACAAATCAAAGAAAGATGATATGAAACCTTCAGAAGAGAAATCCACATTACACAGTAAGTTAAAATTTTCATACTTTCTTGTAGTTTCCTAAACTTTACCAAATGTAATTATTTTTCAGTTAAAGATGCATATGACTATCAAGGAAGATCATATCTTCACATTCCACAAGATCTTGGCATTAATCTCAAGTCAGATACTCCTCCAGAACGATGCTTTCTACCAAAACAACATATTCATACGTGGTATGTAAACAATTCTCCATTTAGTTCATTTATTCAAAATCAAAAAATGGAAGTTAAAATACCAGAAATGACGTTAAACACGCTATTGAATTTTAGTTGTTCTTGTATTTGTTTGTTTTCTGTTACTTTACTGTAAAACAAAAACGGAAGAAATATGAAAGTTTACTTACTAAAATGTAATTAGAAACGCCATGGAACGTCTGACTTCGAGTCATCAATATGCTTTAAATTTTGTAGATTTTAAGGAAAACACGCAATAATTGAATTAAGTTTAAAGACAGTTTATGATATAATTCTTGATGGTATTGAGGAAGTTCAATTATACATTACAGTATTCATTAGAGAAAGCGTCTCATCCAAATATAAACTTAAAATATGAGCGTTTTTAATACGATGCTTCTGTTTGAGTCAAGACGTTTAGGTGATCATTTGATATGTTTATAAAATCATATTTATCAGTGTATTATTTATTATAAAGTAATGATTTGTTCTAGTACTACGTACGTATGTTTGTAGATATTGTATTGGACTTCCTTAGCACTTGTTTTAAGAAACACGGCTAACCTGACATTTACTTATCATTTGACTCTGAAGATGACTACTGCTAAGGTTGTCGAAACGTCAGTCAACATCAACACCAACAGTCCTTCACAGGACTCTACTAACCTCGACAAAACGTAACGATACTTCCTGATGCAAATATTCACTTTATACAGCACTTTTTAATAACATTTAAGTATTTGTTTTCCTGTAGTTCATCCTTCTACCGTCGTGATAAAAGAAAGCAATGGAGATATTCTTACTTATGTATTATTGTATTATTTTATCTTTCTCTTAGGTCTGGTCACACTAAAGGTGTTTCTGCAATAAGATTCTTTCCGAAATCTGCTCATCTTCTTCTGTCGTGTAGCATGGATTGTAAAATTAAGGTAAAAGTCATTTTCTCTGTCTTACATGTCGTTGTTCATTTTGAGTTTGGTTGTACATCGTTGAATGTTCCTCCAACATTACTGGAGGTGAGAATTTTAATAAATTACCATCACGACAAACAATACATTTGAAACAATACATTTCCTTTCAGAAACTGCAAGATGATATTCATGTAAGCGCCAACGGCTCTGTTTTTGTAAAATGTAACATAAGACGAGGAATTTTGCCCAGGTAATGTGGGATATTTCACATTCATTTGGTTACTGGTCACATTTTTATTGATTCAAAAGATTGTTGAAAAAATAACATATGCATTTTGTTGTATATTTTGCAAATTTTTTTTGTCATTCGATGTACATAGCGCTCCTTCTTTGTCATTCGATGTACATAGCGTTCCTTCTTTGTCATTCGATGTACATAGCGCTCCTTCTTTGTCATTCATTGTACATAGTGTTCCTTCTTTGTCATTCGATGTACATAGCGTTCCTTCTTAAGTCTTTACTGTCTTAAATGGGTGTTCATATCTTTGGCTATTATATGTTCAATAAGTTTGATTTATTTTAGAATGTTAGAGGAGATATTATACACACGTATTATGGTGAAGAAAGCCACGAAAAAGTGTCAAGATGATAAAGTAAGTTGGTTTTATTAAACCTTTGTTTTTGAAGCGATCTTTGATGTTTTATAAGATCCAGTAGTTAAAACGTCATGGAGTTTTCATCATGTTCAAAAAAGATGCCTTTACACTCTTCGTTTGTTTTCTTTAATCATTCAATATCATAAATAATTCACATTTTAGACTCTTCTTCAACTTCTTGATGCTCGACAACTTGCTTTAAAGTTGATTACAAATGTCACTTATAGTTACACATCCCCAAACTTCTCAGGGCGAATGCCTTGTGTTGAGGTAACTTATGGTTACACATCAGCAAACTTCTCAGGACGAATGCCGTGTGTTGAGGTAACTTTGATCGTGTCATGATAGAAATTTAAACAAACGATAGCTCTCCCCATTCCTTCTAAACAGACCTTGCGCCGTAAACTTTGTATTCATGATATAAATTTAAACAAACGATAACTCTCCCCATTCCATCTAAACAGACCTTGTGCCGTAAACTTTGTATTCATGATAGAAATTTAAACAAACGATAGCTCTCCCCATTCCATCTAAACAGACCGTGTGCCGTAAACTTTGTATTCATGATAGAAATTTAAACAAACGATAACTCTCCCCATTCCATCTAAACAGACCTTGCGCCTTAAACTTTGTATTAATGATAGAAATTTAAACAAACGATAGCTCTCCCATTCCATCTAAACAGACCTTGTGCCGTAAACTTTGTATTCATGATAGAAATTTAAACAAACGATAGCTCTCCCATTCCATCTAAACAGACCGTGCGCCGTAAACTTTGTATTCATGATAGAAATTTAAACAAACGATAACTCTCCCATTCCATCTAAACAGACCTTGTGCCGTAAACTTTGTATTCATGATAGAAATTTAAACAAACGATAACTCTCCCCATTCCATCTAAACAGACCTTGCGCCGTAAACTTTGTATTCATGATAGAAATTTAAACAAACGATAGCTCTCCCCATTCCATCTAAACAGACCGTGCGCCGTAAACTTTGTATTAATTGATTGTATATATACTATATATCTACCAATACACATATATATTTTAGATACAATAAATATATAATATATTTACTACAGCTAATTGGTAAATATACAATATATATACATGTTGATTATTATGATTGTCGTGAGCCTAGACTTAGTCACATGCTCAGATTGAAAATCTATCAAGTTCTTATTGTCATACTGGATTCATTTTACTCTTAAAACCATCTGAATATTCTTTTCTGTTTTTCATCAGATTGCTGACGCCATTGTTCGTAAAGCACGCGAGACCCTGGAACGAGCTATCAATCTCGTGAACACAAGGGATGAGTGGGGTGGTCGTGTGGTAATATAGGACACCGATAGACTTTTCGTATTAGTAAAAGGTGCCAGTAAAGAGGAAGCGTTTAAGATTGGAAAAGAAATTGTTGATGCTGTTACTGCAGAGAATCCTAAACCTGTGAAACTAAAGTTTGAAAGGTTTTTATCTACTGTAAAATTGTATGTATTTGAGAGATTTGGACTTTAAGACACATTTATGTATAACTACCCCGCTATATCCCTCGACATCGTGTTATTGCAAGTAAACAAAAAGTTAGTTGTCGTAAGTACATTCATGAATTGATGTAAAAGCTAAATTAATTTATTTGAACAAATTTTAGCGTTCGATTTCTCGGTTTTTTACAACTCTACACTGTCCTGTATGTGAACAATTAACACAGCACGGTTTGTGTCAAAAGAATATTTGTTCTATTATTCGACAAATATTCTTTTGTTTTTGGACCACTAACATTGTTTCATTGTAGCTCATTATTTTCGATATCAACAGACACATAAAGGCAAGCAAAAGATTAACTAAGCATAGACGAACAAACAACGAAACATGCAACATAGATATCAAAATAAGCCAAATAACAAATAGTGACTTTTAAACAACTTTCATGTTATTAAAATTTTTATTTCTTCAATTCATTTACCGTTTCATCAGGTTGGTTGCTGACGCATTCGACAATTGTTTGTTTAATGTTCTTATAACGTTTTAAAGTTTCCTTTTAATAATTATACAGGATGTATCATTGAAACATTCTTTATACAATGATAATTTCTAAAAAATAGGCACTCGATGAGTACGTAAGGATTTGCTTTTTTATGATTGACAATTACAAAATACCAGTATGATTGATATAATCTGACAAAAATGGGTGGGAACTCAAAATGTTATTTATCAAAACACAACACCATAACAAGGTTTTGCCAACACAACCACTAGAACTTTGTTGTTTACATTTTCTATGTTATGTATCTGCATAATGTCAAAAGCATCTCGCTATTGCCTGCGTTTCACTAGTCTATCGAACATTGGTGTCTACTATCAAATCTCTAAACAAACAAACGTTTAAATTAATAAAAATTTGGGAATGGTATATAAAAAAGTGGAAATATAAATTACACTATATCTTAGTAATGAGATGCCCCGATCCTCGTCGAAGACATTTCTCAATACTACCTTTGAAAACGTTTTAACCTATGAATTAAAAAGAAATTAATGTTTCCTTACCATTATGTTATTTGCTTATATATTTTCAAAATTAGCCCTGTTCCTCATCAGAAAATTTTAAATAATGACAAACATTAATGTCGAAATGTACGTTCAGGCAGTTAACGAATATTCGAGTTCTCGAAAAATACCGCCAATTTTTAAGTGCTTTTTATGTCAATGAGTTTACATTTAAAACAAAAGATATCGAGGATTTTTTTCTCATTTTCTTTTGTTTTTAATGCATTTGTTTCATGTAAAATGCGACGTTTGAAAATAACCTTACCCTTACAACGACATAAAGAATTTTCTTCTCAAGCCTGGTTCACATATGACTGAGACATTACTGAGGCATTATTAAGGGCAAGCCTGAGATGCTTTCTGATCTTGTGGCTGAGGTAGGCTGAGGCATGTCTGCGATGCTTTTCCATGACATAATTCAAATCGTCGATAGACCACAAAAATTTAGCGGCAGTTTGAATTTGACAAAATCGTACTTCGTAATTTGACAATAGCGTTACTATTTGCAAATTGTGCGGCCCTTTTAACAGTCATTTCAAAATACATCAAAGATGGGATAGCCGGTTTGAAAAAAAGAGAATAATGTGTATTGTTCCATTGAGTCTTTTTTTGCTTCCATGTCCTGTGTTGAAAATCCATCCGCCATCTTTTTACCCAAATGCATGATGGGAAATATTGCCGCCGGTCAATCTGAGAAGCGTTCACATTTAACATAAATAACCAAAATATGTTCCGTACACCGCCGTTTAGCCGTCGACATGCCTGGAAACTTGAACTCAACTCAACTCTAACGGCATTTCGGCGGTATACTGCAGGTAACTCCTGCGACTGTCTGAAACAACATTAGTGTGTCAGCGATGAGTTTTTACATTTGCCTTAAGAACAACGCAGACATCGTTACAGGTATGTATCAGTCATGTGTTAATCACATGTGAACCAGGCTTTACGCAAGAAGCAAACCTTAAAAATTAAAGCGTTCGCTCATAAAAAACAAAAAGAAATGAGATGAAATTAGCAAGTCATTTTTACTTGTGTACCATGTAGAATTAAGTACACGCCTAAGAACTGACCAATGAGAAAACACACGCTTTCCGTAATTTGGGGCATATTTTAAGATCAACTCAAACTTTCAATGCGTTATTTAAATCTTTATCTTCCTACATACACGAAGAATATTTGCCGAAAGCGAAATATATCTTTGACTTTTTCTATAACATGTTCAGGTAAATGCGATTTTTGATATTCTTGTTAGGAGAGAACTCTCTCTTTGATTGAAGTGTGAAATGTAAACGCCATTAATATGTTTATACAAAATATGTGACCTAAATATACGTCTTCTTATAAAGTTTTCGTTTTTGTTAATGTTAATTCTTTGCCTCATTTTAGACGTGAACATTTTTCTGTTAATACGATCGAGAAACATAGAACAAATGTTGGTGGTTTTAATTCACCATGATGGAGGACTTATATAAATAAAGAAATTGATTATTGACCACGATGAAAACGTATTTGGCTTTTGTTTACCATTCCCTTGAGGCTGAGCTATGTACGAATTGTTATTCTACTTCGTCTGAACTGCTTTATAACTGAAGAAATATTAAGATGGTAAGTATCTTTTTCCTCCTTCATCGTTTTTGACAGTAATTTTACAAGACGTATATATATTGTGAGTCCACCAGGCCGTTTACATGGCAAGCTATGAATGGGAAATCAAAAGATTTTGTTCTTTAGGGACGTTTCAATCTCCAGTGTCTCCAAGTCAAATGCAGTTTATTGGCCTTTGGCTGTTTTAAAACGTTTTCCTGAGCATTTTTCTTTCTTAGATCACGATTCTTGTCTCGACAATTGATCGAAAGACAAGTCACTTTTAACCAACGATTTATGATGGTAAGATTTTACAGCAACAAAATAAACTCATGAGAAAGTTATGTTTATCTCAGGTGTTTAAATTAACTATTGTAACTTTACACAATTTCATTTTCTTTACAAATGAATAAAATTACGCCATTATCAAACGCCCAAATTTCGACATTTTTTAATGTGAAAATCTTGTGGGATAAAAACATTGAATTTATCTTTATCAAAAAAACAAATTATAAAAATCCTAATTTTCTTACTGCAGTCAATATTTTCAATTTCATGCCGTGTGCGACATGCACAGTTGTAAGAAATAGCCAATCTTGTTTCTGTGCTTGCCGTCGTCGACATGAAACTGGTGATGTTTGTCAAATAGCCTGAAAATTAGCTAGATACGATGGTTAATATCGTCCATTCTTTTTCTTCCGAAACAAGTTTAACTGTTTTCAGTTTGTTTGTCCAAATGTCTAAAATCAAATAAGAAAATAGTAATGTATCTTTTTGTGAAAAGACAATCCTTGCACATTATAATGTTTTTCTCTGACTTTAGTCTTTACGTCTACTTTTGTGTCTACTTTTTTGTTTCCATTAGTCTTCGTTTTTTTGTCAATCTTTTGTTTATCTTTGTGTATATCTTTTTGCCTTTATTTTTGTCTACCTTTTTGTCTATGTTTTTGTCTACCTTTGGGTCTACCTCAGTTTCTATACCTTTGCGTCTCTCTTTTGTTATATATTCGCTTTATAATATGAAGAGTTATATCACAGGAAGAAGAAAGTCTCACAGGAAACCCACAGGTTTCTATTCTGGGTCCTTTATTATTCCTAATGTATTTCAACGACTTGGCTAATGTGATACAATCCCTTAGTTAGGTGATGAGGACTTACAATATAAAGGAAGTTTATAAATACCTTGGCATAGAAACAGACAGTCTTAATCTGAATCCATTTTAATAAATGCTGCGTCGTTTATGTTCAAAATAGTGCGCAAAAATGATAAAAAATGAATGAATCAAAATACCATACATACTTAAAAAGTAGCATCAAATTCCTTTGGCACAAAAGTTGTACTTTTTCTAACTTCATCTTGTTTTTTATGTCAAAGGTAATATTCAAAGCCATTCATAAAATTAATGCATGTACGGAATTCTTTTAATATTTAATAAACCAAGAGGTAAGAGTCTAACCTTTTCCTATGCTAAGAGATGAATTCAATTATGTCTTCATTGTGATGTTGTTATCTTTACAATAGTTCAGAAATATTTTATGATTAGGATAGAGATGTCACAAAAAACCAATAAAATCACACTTCAAGTCAACTATTGTTTTGATCGACGAAAATTGAAGTCAATTACAAAAGGTAAAACAAATCAATGTTTAAAATAATTATTAAAGCGTATTATATTTGAGATATAGAAACAAATTTAATGCTAATTAAGGGTTTCAAAATCTAGTACAACTTGATTAACAGCGGGTAAAACAGTGCTCTATGCTTTTATTTCTTCCAAATTCTTCACAGTGTAGTTAAACAACTCGATCGATTTCAGCGTAGTGAGCGTACACTTGATGATCTTTGCAAATTTTTTGTAATGAAAATATCTTTCAATATGTCTTAAAAGAACTGGTCATCTTTGAAATCAGCCGATAGTTTGAAATTTGCATGATTCAGCGGCAATGATTGATCTCCACGCTAGGAGGTATAAATGTAATAAGTTTCTTGACTGGGATTTTTAAAGCACTGTAGCTTCTATATTATACATATGTAGTTATTAATTTATTATGTATTTAACTATGAGACATGAAAATGAGACATCACCATGAAATATGTGATAGTCAGTCAACAAACCAGTAAAATCAAAGTGAAGCACCTTTCATGTTGGTGGAAAAATGCTCAAAGGTGAAAGAATGCGACTTTCACCAAAATTTTTCAACGCGCTTGCATTTCACTCATTTTCCTTCCAAATCACAACAAACAATATAGCATTCCATAGCTAGAACCTAATTGTCTTTTTTTAAATATTTAAAACTACAGTTATTTATTCAGTAATTTACACACATCAGCACGTAAAAGTTGGATTAACTTTTTTTGAAACACCCTGTATCAAGAACTTAGATCCCCAGATCGTGGGGTTCCCCTTTGGATAATCAACTTAAATGTATATTTTATTAAATACGTGTATAATTTACGGAAAATAAAAAAATAAGAATCAAAGGAAGATATCAGAATTCAGCCCTTTAATAACACCATGACAACTCGTAGTGTATAGCAAGTCTACCAGTGCTATGAAAATAAATATTTTGTTGTTCAATTACTTTTTCGTTACTCAGTACACTACATATGAGATAACAACAGTAAATATGGGCCAGACACACATAATTAGAGTAAAAGCCCCATTTTTCTTGGCTACATCACTACCTAAAACATACATTAAGATGAATTACATTGTCAGGTGGTCACCAATGCCAGGTCTATCAAAACGCTTGTCAGCAAAGAATTTTTATTGTGTTTAGTCTTTAAAGAAAGGAATGGATTTGTGGCTCCATTTCAAGGAAGAAGATGCTTTGTTAGCCCTGGCTTTTGGGTATGTTTTCTTTCTCCTTTAGCTGACCAGCAACAATTGTATTTTCAATTTCTGTAGGCAAAGGTTTAAATGGAGTGTTTGTTTGGTTCTTTTTGTTGTTTAATAAGAAAAATCATAACTTGTACATTATCTACCACTGGCTTTGCTGTTTAAATATACAAATTTCTGTTCATTGTGATAAATGGTGAAATTTAATTTGTATTTAAAAGAATTGTGTGTGGAGAGAAGGTCAATAGTTTGGTTACTTGATTCAACATTTCTTTCTATTTGCGGTTGGGGATTTACACCTTAATTGTTGTGACAATGTTCTTTTTTCGCTTACATTTTAATGTAGTAAATGTCATTTTTAATTTATATTTGATTTTCTTGGGATCAGAGATAACCAAAACAATTTGTATTGTGATTTTGTGGTAAAATCATTTATGTAGCTGTGAGAATCTGTTTCAAAGCAATGTAAAGTATAAACTATAGCAAAAGAAAGACATGAATGTCATAGCAATGAAAATGACTCATTACTGTCCATATCAGTAGTAAAGACACCAATAGAAATGACTCATTTATTGTTCTTATCAGTTGTAAAGACATTAGCAAAACATGTCTGTTCATGTCATTCACTCCTAAACATGGATACATACTTTAAAGGAGGGTGTTGCCCTAGAAATATATTCCTAATATAAACTTTTTATATTTTGTACACAATTTCTCTAATGTTCAAATAATGTTTTGGAAAAAAAATAAGAAGTTCCTTGCAAAATGAAATACAAACCGTTACACACAATGCCAGAGCTCTTCAAGATGCCTGAGGAATAAATGGCATAGCAGACTCTTTATTTTGGGTAGGAGGCACATATTCATATATTCAAGTTCTGCCATATTAAGTTCCTTTTTAATCCATTTTTCTCAACGGATTAAGACATGCATATATGAATTTGTGCCCCCCCCAAATTAACAAGTATCCTGCGCCACTGCTGGGATTTTTTATATATTAGTAAATCTGGTAGTCGGACAGTTAAATGCGTCATTTTCACTTCTGTTATTGCTATGGCAATGATATCCTGCTTTTTCTTCTTCAGGTTAATTATAACTTTTACTTTACCTTGCCTTGTTTGAACTATAAAAAAGTATTATTGAATCAATCATTAAATGAATAAATCAATTATTAACTAAATATTTCCTCCATAGTAAAAAAAACAAACAATGTCATAACAATTAAGGTGTTTGTCTCCAAATCAAGTATGATTGAATCAAATAACAATAACTGCATGTGCATTTTAAACAACCACAATTCTCATAAATAGAAATTATATTTTCTAAATTATATGAATGAATAGAAATAAATATTGAAAAGACTGTATTCATACTTATATAGCAAAGCAAATCTTGTGGGCTTTTCAGCATTTCAAAAAGGGATGTTACATGATCATGGTTGCTGTAAGATCAGTATTTACTCTCATTATACAAGAAAATGACCCAACAACATTCATTTTAAGAAACTTCACAACTTCTGAATAGTTAGACATTGCAAACTAAACTCATAAATATACTTTGATAGTTCCATACAAGTTTCTTAATAAAAACTGTTCCAGTAAATAAATGACAGTTGAAAACTTGAAAATACAAATGTTTGAATATTGTCAATAATATATTTATACCTTTTATAAATATACAACTGTTGTTATTTGAACTTTTGTTAAAAGAAATCTACAATACAACTGTTTGTAATCAGCTTTAGTAAAAAGAAGACATACCTAAAATGAAAAGGGAAATTGATTTTCTTCTTAATTGAAAATGAGCTACAAATTCATTTCCTCTTCTTCTATCTCCTTATGCGCTTTCACAAAGACAGGAGTATTGTAGCTTCTACCAAATAAAAGATAAATGGAAGTCCAAATGCTTCAGTTTCAACATCTATAGTTTGTTTATAACCAAATGAAGATTGTATATTATTGCAGTACAAGTTCAGGTCCAAATGCTTTCGTTTGAATTTCTATCGCTCGTTTATAAAAATCTTTTGCTTTTTCGTACTCTTCCATAGTATGGTTAACCGAACCCAGACTGTTGTACGTTTTCGCAATATTAACATGGTCAAGTCCAAATGTTTTTGCATGAATTTTTATCGCTCGTTCATAAAAATCTATTGCTTTTTCGTACTCTCCCATATTACTGTAAACCAAACCCATATTGTTGTACGTTGTCGCAATATTAACATGGTCAGGTCCAAATGTTTTCGTTATAATTTCTATCACTCGTTCATGAAAATCTTTTGCTTTTTCGTACTCTCCCATATCATTGTAAACCAAACCCAGATTGTCGTATATTTCCACAATATTAACATGGTCAGGTCCAAATGTTTTCGTTTCAATTTCCATCGCTCGTTCATAAAAATCTTTTGCTTTTTCGTACTCTCCCATATCTTTGTAAACCAAACCCAGATTGTTGTACGTTGACGCAATAATAACATGATCAGGTCCAAATGTTTTTGCTTGAATTTCTGTCGCTCGTTCATAAAAATCTTTTGCTTTTTCGTACTCTCCCATATCTCTGTAAACCAAACCCAGATTGCTGTACGTTGTCGCAACATTAACATGGTCAGGTCCAAATGTTTTCGTTTCAATTTCCATCGTTTGTTCATAAAAATCTTTTGCTTTTTCGTACTCTCCCATATCTCTGTAAACCAAACCCAGATCGCTGTACGTTGTCGCAATGTTAACATGGTCAGGTCCAAATGTTTTTGTTTGAATTCGCATCGCTCGTTTGAGAAAATCTTTAGCATTTTCATATTCTCCATTCTCACAAAGCAATACACCCAGCTCGTTGTACGAAAATGAAACATTAATATGATCAACACCTAACACTTTAGTTTGAATTTCTATTATTTCATAAAGTACTTTAGTTGCAAGTTTATAGTTGCAAATACTTTCCAAAACATCTACAAAATATTTGGCAACTTTCCAATTTCTTTCATCAAGTTTTTGTTTTGATGATTTTACATCGATCAACTTATTTAGGAAATGTTGTAATGATGAATTTGTTATGAATTTAATTAGATGTGGAATTATTTTGATTTCATCTTCTCTGTCTTTGAAATGATTTAGTGTCCAAGCAACTTCGTTTTGTTTACAGCCAAAGGTTTGCGATGAATAATTTATGATGGCTTCGTGTACAACGCTGTGCAGGCGGATGTCGTTGTTTTCCGTTTGAAGGAATAAAGAACAATGCTTTAATTGAAGACAGACATCTTCTGCAGATTTTTGTGGATCAATGCTTTTAATAAATGATATTATAACGTCTTGTGGTAAGCTATCGGAAGATATTATTGAGAAAAGTTTAAAAACATGTTTCAACAAGATTGATTCTTCAGCATTTTTTTGAACTGCTATCATAACAGTTTTCATTCCTAAGTAAGATGTGTTGATTTTATGAAAATTGGCATCCATGTTCTGTCGCTCTCCTTCATTCAACTTATCAAAATATTTCTCCCACGTGAATGTCGGATTTACACTTTTTACACAACCTACGTAGGAAGCAGCATTTGCCAGGAACAACGGTTGACGATCTAATTTGTCTGATAAATCCTTTAAAAATTTTTCATCTTTATTATTAATATCAGAAAAGACAAATAGAAGTTGTCGACATTCTTCATCATTGATACCATGACTGACTGAAATGTGTTTATTTAGATTTCCATTTGGTGGTATAGCATCTGTATTTTGGACAGTTACTATAATTTGTCCATTTTTCCAACTATGATCACCAACTTGAGGTAATAATGGATAAATTTTATGAAGTTCAACCACGTTATCTACAACAATCCACCATGTTTGCCAAGATTTCAGTTGTTGTTTCAGCAATAATTGAAAATCTTTAATTGTGTCTTTGCTGCTTTTTGCTTCTTTTGAAATATTTTCAATGACAGTTTTATCATTGTTTAATTGTTTACAAAGGTCTTCATAAGTTTTCAAAAGAGAGTCGATATCTTTTCCTTCGAGTGTCATTACAAATGTCGTATTCTTTTTCCAGTCAAACGAGTTATACATTTCTTCGCAAATTTGTCTAGCTAATTCAGATTTACCACTTCCAGGATTACCAGAAATATAGTAATATGTTAGTTCATTATTGTTAGTACTGCGCAAGTTATTGAGATCTGCTGTGATTTGATTAAGTAACTCTGTACGTTTAACCACATCGTGATTTGGTTTGCAAGGAAGTTCTTGAAAAGAATTAAATGTGTTTCGTTGACATTTAGTTTCATTAATTTCAGTGAATGGAAATGCTAGATCTTTAAATGACTTTTCAATATCACAAAGCATTTTGTCAAATTCAGTATCAGATTTTCTTCCTGGATTAACATGGGTAAAATCGTTTCTTACATCACGAAGTTTTTCCACAGCAGCTTTAACTTTCGGGTGAATTTTTGTTCCAATTGAGTGGGTAAACAATATTGCTTAACATATTGTCGTGCAATCCCACTTACTTGTGTCACCATCTTTAAGTTTTGACAAAATTTTTTCATCACGAAATATTTTTTTTGATCTTTCAATGTTGAACAATTTTTGACCACTAACGTTTGTATTATCCCATTCTCCGTTGGATTTTTTGCAATTAATGTCCCACTCTTGGATAAATAAATCAACAAGTTTCTTCGTAACAACATCTGAAAGTATTTTCTGAATGTAGTAGTTATTCCTTTCTTCTATCGACTCCATCTAAGGATTATAAAAGAATTAAGATGAACATGGATATAGTTTATTAACCATAATTTATGGACAGCTGAAATTTGTTAAATATTATCATTTCGTAAATTTTCAGTTGTATATGAAAGTAGTTAAAGGAGGTGGTAGCTAAAAACAACCCTGTGAATATTTGTGTTTAAATTTGTCCTGCATTTAGGCATTTCTCTGGAAGTTAGACAAGTTTCTAAAAACGTTCATAAATAATAATACCGTGTATGTCTCCATTTTCATTCTACCGTGTCGTGAAGAAAAGTGAAGCAAGTTTAGTTTATAAGCTTTAGTTTATATAAGTTTAAAACTTATGTAACGACTGCGTAAAGAAAAATAGACCAGGCGGAGAAAGGTTATCGTCCCCCAACGTGGGAGTTTACTTGAGTAGACGTTTTGCTCAATATTGGGGCGTTGATTTCAAAAAACGATGTCATACGGGCAATTTTTGGGGCTTGAAGCCTTCTTTTCATAAAAATTGTTATTTTAGCTTTATTTCCCATAGACGTACACTTTGACATCGTAAGACTTTTAAATATATCAAAAGAACAAACAAATAGTAAAGAAGGCCCAGAAGAAAAATAGAAAAACTTTTTACCTTGAGATTTGCCTAAATGTTTAATGCTTTTTGGTGAACGTCATTTCCAGGCGTACCTCTGCAAAGGAGTTTTTTGGAAACGAACTTTACCAGAGGCACCAGGGCCACGGGAGCAGATGGTTGCCCCTTTTCACATTTTGAACAAATAAGAGACGTATATCTTATTCCCGATATGCAAATTCCCCACTTACAGATTCTTCGATTTTTAACTGATTCAAAGTCTTGTTAGCTAGTGTGTCTTTAATTCAGCTGTAATTTAGCGCGTTTTTCATAAAACATTTTGATTAATTTCTAAGGACGAAATAAACATTAATTTTGAAGGCAGAGAATGTAATGTGTAAGTACTGTTTACTTTGAAAAATTTACATGTTAAATTAGTAACGTTTTTGTTATGAGGAACATAAAACTTAGCGTTTGTGGGAACAGCAACTACACAGTGGAATTTTGCTGGCAGAATTTTTCATCGCTTGTGTTGAGTCATGTTCATAAAGAACAAAAATACGTTTAAGGAAATATAATGTACATAGTTGTGTTTACCAATGTATACGTTCCCATACGGTTAACACTCAAGAAACACTTATTGACGTCATATATGACGTCTTTATGTACTATATATAGATTAGATATTAGATAGAACAACTATTTGACCAATGATAATATTTGTTATTTGTAATGAATACTATATAAATATTGCTCTTTAAAACAATAAAATCAGTTCGTTCAATAAGTAGAAATTTGGAGCAATGCCACGTGATTTACGAGCAAAGAAAGATGCAAATAAAAAGAACAAGACAATTACTGATACGAGTGGTCAAACCAATTAGCATCAATTTTCCATTCTTAAGAAATTGGTGGACAATTGACACACGATAACGAAATATTAGAAAGGGAAGATGCCACCCCATCGTCTAGCAGTACTGACTGTGACCTGGGTCGTGAAACATCAACGGCGAATGTTGATCCATGGATCAAAGTTATGAGCGACTTCAACGATGGCAAAAAGCTTCAAAGTAAAAATAAAAGACGATTTTTCCAGTCCAAATGGCTCAAAAAATACGAATGGCTTTCATATCACTGCGAGAAGAGGGCAGCATTTTGCAAAACGTGTACAGAATACAGACAAGCATACAATATTCACTATTCATCTTCACTCCATCTGCCACTGGTTTCTGTAACTGGAAGAAAACCGTAAAACGTCTAACAGATCAAGACCTAAGCGCAAACCACAAAAATGCCACTAAAAAGAAAAGAAATACCCAACCTACATTTGATTTGCAGATAAGTAAGCCATGTAAAAGAGCACAACGTCTGAGGCGACAAGGCTTGGTAGCCCATTTTAATACATCAAAAACACTTCTTACACAAGGTGTGGCAAGGTGGAGTCATACAGACGAGGATTCGAAAATCATTCAATTAAAGAAAGACAAAGCCATCGATCAAGAACAATAAAATCTTCTTTTAAAAGAAATTCAATACATGTCTCACAATATTTTAGTTGAACAAGAAGAAAGATTGGTGCTGAGTGCTAGAAAAAGTCTTTTTAATGAAGTAGTAAATTTTATGCCATAATTTCCCATGAATCAAGTGACATTTCAAAAACTGAACAATTATCTATTTCTGTTCGCCATTGAATGTAAACTAAAACGTTTTAGAAGATTGTATTAGCGTCATGCCATGTGACGAGGGTTTATCATCTGAAGATCTTTTAAAGTATGTTAAAGATATATTGGTGCATTGCAATTTGCATCCTCAAAGAATGGCTGCTATGGCATTTGATGGAGCTTTACAGTTGGTGGTGCTAATAAAAGATGAAGTTTGCAAACATGCGCTTTATATTCACTGCTTTGCCCACTGCAACGAGCTGGTATTCAAAGATGTTTTGTCGCTTTCGAAAATGCTTGCTGACGCCCAAGACTTATGCAAAAACTTGTATGTCCTTGCTGGTGTAAGCCCAAAAATAGGGTTTTACTTTTTCAAAACACCCAGAAGGAACTGTCATAAGTTTATATTTGACAATGTTAGAATTATGATAGTTTGCGAGAAGAGATATTCAATAGTTAAAAGATATGTATATAGTTCAGTTTATTACGTCATTCATTAATGTAAATTAATACATATTTTAGAGAGCACATGATCTTGTAGACAGTGGGAGTGCAAGTTGTTAGTTTTAATTATACTCTTTTATAATTCTACCAGCAATCGTCGACGTGTTATTTAAACAGGTTATGGAGCCAGGACGTGGAGGTAATTTAATGATATAGAAGATAAAAATTTTGTCCTGTTAACATTACGAGAAATTTTGTTGTCTCATATAACAAAGCGATCATGGCGGAAATAACAAGGATTGATAAATTGTCAGGAAAGATTTACCAATCTTGGAAATACAATGTTAAGTTAGTTCTGATGGAAAGAGGATTAGACAAGAAGGAAAAGAAATTCCTCCTCCTGTTACGGCGACGATTGCGACGAATGCATTTCAATTGAGGTCGGATAAGGCCTACTCTCTTATAGCTCTAAATGTAGAAAAACATTTACAAATACATATTTCTGGAACCACAGATCCGCTCATTTCATGAAAAAGCTTAAAAGCTCAATTTGAATTTGTTTCGGTCGTACAAATAGTAAGACTGAATCGGAAATTTTATGCTACGAGCATGGAAGAAGGGGAGATTTGCTGAAGCATATCACATATATGACCACATTAGTAGAACAACTGCGTGAAATGAATGTGGAAATTCCGTCAAAGAAATTCGCAAGGGTGCTATTAGGTAGACTACCAGAGTCGTACGAGAATTTAATCACGAGTTTAAACGCCAAAAAAGTTGAAGATATGGATTGGGATAATATAAAAGGATCGTTGATTGAGGAACATCTTAAACGTAAAGAGAAGAAAGAAAATAAAAAAGAAGACAATGCATTATACATGAGAAAAAAGGAAAACTACAATCGAGGAAAAAGGCATGACTTTGGAAAAGTCAATGAAAGGCCTAGACGAGAAATTTCACAACACAGCAAATCAAGATGGAACATGGGAAGAGATGAAAAAAAGGTGTGATTCCAATAAGGGAAGAAATGTTACCTGTTTCAGATGTAATCAGGTGCTACCCATAGCAAGAAATTGTCCGTTGAATACAACCAATAAGAAAGAAGGAAGTTCATGTGTTATTGAAGGCAGTGATGTTGCTCTTATTCATAACATTAAACCCTCTGAAGAATGATTCATCGATTCCGCTGCAACAAAGCATATGACTCACAACAAGGATTTGTTTGTGGACTATGTTGAATATCAAACACCAACCAAAATATATTGGGGAGACAACACTGTGATACATGCTTTTGGTGAAGGTCTGGTAAAATTATTATACAATGTTGAGTTGCACAAAGTGTTGTATGTGCCAAAGCTTGCAAAAAATCTACTCTCCGTACCAGCAATGATTGCCATGGAAACCAAAGTCCAATTTGATGAAAATAAATGTATAGTATCAAAGAATAATAAAGATTATGTTATTGGCGAGTTAACAGATGGTATGTTACGTACTGTGAAGGATCCTGAATATTCTCAATCGTCAATTGATACATCTCCTCAAATATGGCATCAAAGGTTAGGCCATCTCAATCATGATTACATAAAGAAAATGATGAAGAAAAATATGGTGAAAGATAATGGATAATGGAAGAAACGAGAAAGCTGCAAACAATTGTGAAGGATGCATTGGCGGAAAGATGCACAGGAATCCTTCTCCTAAAGCAAGTCAACACAGAGCTACTAAAGCATATGAAGTTGTCCACAGTGATGTATGTGGCCTCATGCAAGTTGAATCGAAGGGAAGCAGTCGACATATGGTAACATTTATTGACGACTATTCACGGTTTGCAGTTGCATATTTCATCAAGCGCAAGAGTGAAGTACTCGCAAAGTTTAAAAATTTGTTAATAATATGAAAAACCAGAGTTCAAACAAACAACATGTGAAGATCTTAAGGAGTGACAATGGTGGGGAATACACATCAAACGATTTCATAAATTATTGCGCTAACGAAGGAATAAATGAAGAATTCACAAGTCCATATTACCCAGAACAGAACGGAGTGGCAGAGCGTCTCAACCGTACAACGCTGGAATTTGCCAGGTCAATGATATACACTGCTGCATTGCCATTGAACTTTTGGGCCGAAGCTTGTAATACCTCCATTTATCTTCATAATCGAAGTGCACAGCTACATTAATGAACAAAACACAATTTGAATGCTTATTTGGAGAGAACCTGATCTTTCAAACATAAAGGTGTTTGGATGCAAATGTTTTGTACACGTCCCAAGCTGTAATCGTCAGAAGCACAGCTACATTAATGAACAAAACACCATTTGAATGCTTATTTGGAGAGAAGCCTGATCTTTCAAACCTAAAGGTGTTTGAATGCAAATGTTTTGTACACGTCCCAAGCTGTAATCGTCAGAAGCTTGATCAAAAATTAAACGAAGCAATCTTTTTCGGATATCCCTTGGGCACTAAAGGATACAAGGTATTCGACTTAAACCGAAACCGTTTTACAATCAGTAGAGACGTAGTATTTCTTGAGTACAAATTTCCTTTACTTAACAATCACAGCAGAGGAATGTCGATATGTTAAGCGATACCGTCGTTCATATGGACGAAGAAGATGTAACCTCAGAAGAAAAACAGGATGAAGGAACCAACGAAAATGCTGATACAACTGATCCAGTAGAGCAAGCGACACAGTTTCAACAAAGGATGACTATAAATGATGATCAATGCTCAAGCAGAGAAGATGCTGAGCAAGTGGGAAAACATGTAGACATACGAAGACATACGAAGATTCATTTATGGAAGATGTAAGGAATTTAGGACAAACAAGAGAAAGAAAAATCCCTCGTCGATTTCGTGAAGACGCATATCAAGTTGCTGAATCACTGATTTCAGACATAGATAATCTTAAAAGCGTTAATGAAGCACTGAATGGGAAGCATGCAAAATTATGGAAGAATGCCATGACAGAAGAATACTCATCTCTTATGGAGAATAACACTTGGGAATTGGTTACACCATCGAAAGAGAAGATCATCATTGGTTCTAAATGTGTTTTTAAGGTAAAGAGGAATGAAAATGGATCCGTTGACAGATGCAAAGCCACACTGGTTGCACAAGGGTACTCACAATCGAAAGGAATAAATAACGAAGAAGTATTTTCTCCTGTGGCCAAATACACGTCTACGACAAATGCTTAGAATCTTGAAATCCACCAGATGGATGTCAAAACAGCGTTTCTAAACGGCAATATAGATTACGAAATTTATATGTCTCAACCAGATGAATTCGTTGATCCACGGAAACCTAATCACGTATAAAGATTAAATAAAAGCTTTTATTGCCTCAAGCAATCGACTCGATGCTGGTATGATACGCTTGATAAATATCTATTAATAATTGGTTATCGAAAGAGTGATGCAGCCGGATGTATATATGTTAAATCAGTAAAGAAGGACAATGGGCACATTAAGCATTATGCCAAAAATTCAGGATGGATGATCGTGGAGAAGTTTATTTCTCATTGGGCATGCTGATCAATCGTGATCGCAAGGCAAAGACAATAACAATAAGTCAACGAAATTATATGAAAAAGATATTGACAAGATTTGGTATGGAATCGTGCAAACCGATGTCCACACCGATTGAAAATGGCAAGAAATCTCATGAAGTGCAAGAAAACGAGGTTTGTTGATGTGCAGACATATCAACAAAATATAGGATGCTTAACATATTCATCAGTAATTACCCGTCCCGATATCGGAGCAGTTGTAAATGTCCTATCTAAATACATGGCAAAACCAAGCAATGATCATTGGATCGGGGTGAAGCGTGTTCTTTGTTATCTAAAAGGAACGTTAAATTATGGACAGAAGGATATCACTGACGATGACCCCAAATTAGTTGGTTTTTCAGATTCCGAATAGGCGGGAGATATAAATTCGAGAAGATCTACATCAGATCACGTTTTTAAACTTTGAGGAAACACAATGAGTTGGTCAAGTAAGAAGCAAGCTACTGTTGCCAAATCTTCTACTGAGGCGGACTATGTCGCATTGTCTATAGCAACGCAAGAAGTGATTTGGTTGAGAATGTTATTGAGCGATTTGGGATTAACCACGAAGACGCCCATCATTATTTTTGAAGATAACCAAGTGCGCTAGAGTTGGCCAAAAACCCAAGCCACCCCAGCAGTACTAGACACATAGATGTATGTCATCATTTTATTCGTGAAAGGATTTCCTCAAAGGAAATTAAAGTGGAATATTGTCCAACCGAAAGGATGATCGCTGACATAATGACAAAAGCATTGCCCAAGGCAACATTTGAAAAGTTTAGAAATCTATTAAATGTTTATTTAGTTTAAAGACGAAATTTCTCGCACAACCATCAAGTGGGAGTGTTGATAGTTTGCGAGAAGAGATATTCAATAGTTAAAAGATATGTATATAGTTCAGTATATTACATGGTCATGTTGACACACTGGGAGGGCAAGTTGCTAGTTTTAATTATACTGTTTTATAATTTTGCCAGCAAGCGTCGACGTGCTATTTAAACAGATAAGAACGATAGTTATTATTCAATTTGAATAACTGTATAATTTGTTTCCGAAAAATACAGCAGAGTGATTAACTATAGTATTTGAATGAAAGTCATCTTCGGTTGAATTGAAATTTCTATGCTCAGTGCACATAAATTTATCATGAAAATCTTTAACAATTGATCATTTCATAGTTATATGAATCAAAAATACAATGATAACATTTGCACTAAACACTAATGTTGCAAATATATCTTGTTTAATTAGTATAAATGTGGGAAAAGTCGGTATTTTCACAGTGTAAATTAATCAAAATTTATCTGTGTTTGAAAATCCCACAAAACTTAAGAATTGTTATCCATATAAAACAAACGTGGCGTGGAAGTAATTTATAAGTTATATTTAACTACAATATCCGTGACATCAAAACAAAAGAAATTGATACATGTACAGAAAACATTAAATCAGAAGGTTAAAATACACCATTACATAAAGGGAGAAAAGCTTAAAATCAACATACCTTCACAAATTCAGAAAGATTAAAAACGACGCAACCAACTACATGATGTGTTTGCTTTTGCTTGATAATAAAGAAATTGAAATGTTAAATGAATGCTTGATTTTAATCACCTGATGTTTTTATTGTGAAATATTGAATTCTGGTCATACCCAATTAAATATGAATTGCAAATTTTTTATTTTAGCTATTACTGAAGTAAACACAAAGATGTTTTAACTTGGAAGCTTTATGCCAATAAACCTTTCATAGTTTACTATTATTTATTTCAATTATTGAACATCCTGACTTACATGCAAAATAACTGAAATAATCATAAAGGAAGACGGGCAGCCAGCCTTTTACAAGTAAGATAGCTAAAAAATTAAAGATTTATAATTTAGAAAGTTAAGAAAATCGATAAACAGAGCTTCTCTGAATTTGTCAGCGTTCCAACTTTGAAACGAGGTTAATGAAGTTTTATCATTTTGTAAGCTTTTGATACGGATAAACATATAATTTGATAAGGGCGTGAGAAGCAAGTAAAAGTTGGGGGGGCTCAAGATTTTAGGGGCAGTCTTTGTTTAAGAAGGGAATATCAGAGTAATTAATCTCGAAGTCTCTAATTTAGAATAATTTTGTCACATCTCAGTAATCATAGATACTACAAAACTGATAGCGTTTGGACTTGACACTTCATCATGCAAAGTTTTGTCCTTTTGTGAACTTTTGACGCAAACAAATATTTTAAATAGTCTATCTTACAACAAGTTGAACAAATATAGACCAGAAAAAAATCACGTGTACTATCACGTGAAGAAGTTATCTTTTCACTCCAATTAAGCGCAATTTCTAAAGACATACCTAGCAAAACGTTTTTATGTCATCATCTGTGGTACAAATAAGATAAAGAGATAGATGACTGTATAAAAGAGGAAAAAATGTCTTCTTGATAAAAGCATTGTTAGATAAAATTAAAATAATTCCGCATTTATGAGATGCATAACTGAAATTCTGTGACGTGTCATAATTTTGATTCATCTTGTTGATATTTTAGCCCTGCCGTACCAATGTTGTTTGAAAAGACTAGCGAAATTAATTACTGGTGATAATGCAAGAAAGGTAAGTATTTTGAAATGATAAATTATCCAATGTGTTATTGGGAAAATCCCACCAAACTCAACAGACGTATCAATATAAAACATATTAAGCGCGAATTCCACCACGAAAATGACAATCAGGTTTTTTATGACAAATATAACAAAATTCTAGGCATAAGAACAAACAATTACACTCTGATAGGTAAACTTTATAATCAACATACCTTAACAAATTTAGAACGATTAAATAAGACGCAACCAGCTACATGATGTCTTTGCTTCTGTTTGATAATAAAGAAATTGGAATGTTCAATAAATATTCAATTTTAATCACCTGCTGTTTTTATTGTAAAATGATGAATTCTGTTCATACCCAATAAAATATGAAATGCAAATTTTTTCTTTTAGCTATTACTGAAGTAAACACAAAGAAGTTTTGACTTGGAAGCTTTATGCCAATAAACCTTTCACAGTTTACTGTTATTTCAATTATTGAACATCCGGACTTACATGCAAACTAACTGAAATAATCATAAAGGAAGACGAGGCAGCCAGCCTTTTAAAAGTAAGATAGCTCAAAAATTAAAGATTTATATTTTAGGAAGTTAAGAAAATTGATAAACAGAGCTTATCTGAAATTCTCCGCGTTCCAACTTTGAAACGTTGTCAATGAAATTTTATCATTTTGTAAATTTTTGATACGGATAAACATATAATTTGATCCGGGCGTGAGAAGCAAGTAAAAGTTGGGGGGCTCAAGATTTTATGGGCAATCTTTATTTAAGAAGGGAATATCAGAGTAATTAAAGTGCACATACAGCTATTTTCAGTTTTTTATTCTCAAATAGATATTGGATAAATAATACAAATGCCGTTTGCAGAATTTGAATAACTTTTTTCGTTTTTGAGTTATCTTTCGGCAAAGATGCGAATAAAACCTGAATTTCAACGTTTTGTAAAAAATGTCGAGAGCTCTAATCCGTGGCATGGGACTAGCTTGTGACGTCATTTAAGGAACACAGACTGACTGCCAAAACAACTTACACTGTTTATGCATGTAAACAAACACAAAAATGCTAGATCGATGTGTAGTTTTTGGTTGTTCTAACGTAGCCAGTTCGGAGAAAGGCATTTCACTTCATCGTATACCATTTTTTAATGACGAAAGAAGCGAAGCTAAGCGTAGAAGAAAGCGATGGCTCAACTTTGTGAAAGGTACTCTCGATAAGTGGGTCCCCACAAAGAATTCCGCAGTTTGCTCGGGAACACTTCACGAAAGATTCGTTTTCTCTGCAATTCGGCTCACTTTCTGAATCAGAAAGTAATTTTGCACCTCGACTCATTCAATTCGGAATCGTTGCTTACCCGAGCATTTATCCTCGAAACGATGACAATGAACTTACAACAAGAGATCGCGGAATGGTGAGTACGTTAAAAATTATACATATGCATATCTACATTTTACCTGGAATCTGTGAGAGAGTATATTTCAAAAATATATGCCATTTTAGATGTCTGATTATAAAAGAGAGGTTGAATCAGAAAATATTCCCAGTACAAGTAGCGAACCTCAAGAGCAAATAGAAGAAACAACTTGTGATGAGCCTGTATTATCAGAATGATAAGCTACTCTTTTCCTGGAATGTTCTGCAGGTATTCTATGAAACATGTGTGATGAAACAACTATGTGTCATTACAGTTTTTATTCCCTTGTGCCAATTTAAACTCTTTCAAGAAATTGAATGCAGTTTTATTTTTCATGAAGGCATATCCTTGTTGTAACTCACTTCGAAAGCAATTTGGACAGGGATAATCAAGAGGTTAATGGAGTTCCCCAGGTTAAAGTGCATTATCCAAAATTTATAAATGGTGAAGCTGTTGTAAGAAATGTAAAAGTTGCTCAGGATTTTGGTAAGGTTATTTAATATATTTCTCCTACTGCCTGATTTCATGTGTTAAATGCCATAACAATCAAAATCTTAATAAGAAATGATTACTATAAAATAAAATTTTTAATAATTTGCACATTGCTCCTCCAGGGTATGTTGAAGATATATAGCAAGTGTTGTGCTCTCCACTCATTGATGAGGAAACATTGAGAAAAGCCAAAGGTGATCTTTTACGAATGACTCCATTGCCAATGAATTCCATGTTGGACAAGCAATCAAAAAGTGAAGCTATCTCAAAAAAAGCATGCCAGCTGTACATTTCACCCCCAACTAAGCCAGGTTTAACAAAAAGACATTACTTGCTTTGAGTGAATTTGAATCTTATTTTTGGAACTGGCTCACTTTATTGTTTGATATACCTGAAGTATCGCCTGCCCAAGAAAAAATCACTGAACATGGAAATGAGAGGGCAGCACCTCGATGCACTGTGTGCAAGAATTGGATGAAAGGTCATAAAAATATAATTAACTGTCCAAAAAACCAAATGTATCCACTTTTTAGGAGCTGGTGGTATGAGCCCAGTTAGTTGGGATTCAGTGAAGTGTGAAATGACTGCATGGAAAGAATGAAAAGAAAAGGAATTGTAATTTTGTACGTTTTGTATAACAAGAATAAGTGTGAATCGAATATGCAATACACCAAGAGTGGCTAATATCATTCCACACTTCACTGGATCCCTACTAGCTGGGCTCATGCACACAACACCTAAAATAATATATAATGCTATGTTATTTTACAAATTGTCCTCTTCATACCCTGCAAAGTGTTCATTGTTTTTTAATTAAAAGTTGTTCAAATGACATGGTAAGCACAAGCTGGAAGTGGAATTCTTTTGTCTCGAAGAATGCCATGTACCATTCTTGTAAATTGCCTATATGCAACAACTCGAAAAAACCTGAAAAGGCATAATACACAAGGTCCATTAAAAGACGTAGGAGTCCATAAAATACAAATTTTGCAAGTGTGCTTTCATAGATAACCCAGACAGAAGCATTTAACTATTAATTGTAACAAACCTTTGCTCCAAGAATCCTTTACAATATCTAACTCCATCTCGTCTTTGGTAAAGATTGGCAGCTGAATTTAATGCCCATCGATTGAGGCAAATGGCATCAAATCCTGGATGCTCTGTTATGCATTTTGGCTGCCTTACTAATTCGGATACCACCATATGATCTTGCATTTCAATCATGCAATTGATAATTTCGTGGCAACATCTACATTCTTTTAGATTAACCAAGAGAGGAACACGGCACTTACCACAATTGCACCTAAGAAAGTTCTCTGTCAAAAGCTTCGGCAACAATAAATAAACAAATTTTCCAACTTTTCTTACCAAGAATCAAGAGGAACTTCATTTTGCATTCTGCGTTCGAGCTCTTCTGTTTGGCGTCTTTGTTCTTCTGTCTCTTTATTATAGTTTCTAACCACTCATCATCAGCAAGTGGTTCGTTTTCATACGCTGCAGCTTGGCCGTACTCAAAATCGCCATCGGTGTTTCGGAGCGCATTTAATGACGATTGATCTTCGTCTTCGAAATCGAATTCCCGACTGTTCAATTAAATATTTTCCGCTGTTGTTGCTGTACTCGACTCAGAATCGGATGTCGACATGTTTCGTACAATTTTTATATTAATTTCAAAGCAATATATAAAGAACTGTTATTTCACACTGCGTTGTTTTGTATGCAGCGCATTCATACGTTCCTTAAATGACGTCACAAACCTCTCGTCTTTAGTCCCCTCAAAGGCACGGAAATTTTTCAAAAGCAAGCTAATTCAAACCGCCAAAAAAACTTTGTTTTTATTTTTTTTACGAAATTTTCTTCGAAATCATATTTTCTACAGTCTAAACTTTAAAAGTTCAACGAATTTTGGAAGGCTGTATGTGCACTTTAAGCCCGAGACACACTGTCGCTGTCGCTTGGTCGTTACGGTGAAACGACAGAGCGACGAAGCGACACGAAAAATAATAAAAGACACACTGTCGCTAGCGCAACAGGCAAAGCGACTTGATTTTAAGCACGTACCAGTCCCCCTAGAGAGAATTTTAGCGGGAAATACGAATTTGGCGGGTCATTTCAATATGGCGTCGAACCAGAACTTACGAGATATATTAATAGCAATTGTTTTAAACGAGTTGGACGAGGAAGAAAACAAACAAAACCGACGGGTAGTTCGTAAGAGGCGCTGCTGGGTGAGAGATATCAACCGACGACAACGTGAACAAGGTGACTTTGGAAACTTGGTTCAAGAATTGAGGAATGACGAAGAACAATTCTTTATTTACTTCAGAATGAATCAAATGACCTTTGATTTCCTTTTGAGCTTAGTTGGTCCTTCATTAAGAAGGCAAAATACTCATTTGCGGCAGTCAGTTTCACCAGGAGAAAGGCTAGCCATCACTTTGCGTAGACTGGCAACAGGAGATTCGCCTCAGTCAGTGGCCTTTGCATATCGTCGTGGTTTAAGTACAGTTCGCAGCATGATATACGACACATGTGAGGTTTTGTGGTCTGTACTTATGCCAATGTTTTTAAAAGCACCATCGAGTGTATTTGAATGGCAGGGTATTGAGCAAGGGTGAGTTTCAATCTCATTATCATGTTGATTTATTGCACGGAGTGAGTTCCTGAGCTTGAAAAAAAGTTTCTTTACTGTTTGTGACCTAGTTTTTCAATTGAAATAGGTTCTCTACTGTCTGGAATTTTCCAAATTGTATTGGTGCTTTGGATGGGAAACATATTACAATTCAGGCTCCTAGAAACTCTGGCTCAGCCTTCTTCAATTACAAAAAGTTTCATTCCATTGTGCTGATGGCAATGTGTGATGCCCATTATCAGTTTGTGTATGTTGATGTTGGAGAATCTGGCCGGTAGAGTGAGAGATTTAGGGATGTGAGCCACATGTGAGAGATTTAGGGATGTGAGCCACATGTGAGAGATTTAGGGATGAGTGGGGACCAGTGATGCCTGTCCACGCTACCAGGTAGAGTGCAACAGCAGACACCAAAGGTACTACCCCTCCTAAGAGCCCCTATACCCCTCTTCAACATACCCTGGGTATAAATGGCATCGCAGACTCTTTATTTTGGGTAGGAGGCACATATTCATATATTCATGTACTGCAACATTAAGCTCCTTTGTAATCCATTGTTTTCAACAGATTAAGACATGCATATATGAATTTGTGCCCCCCCCCCCAATTAACAAGTATCCTGCACCAAACATTTATTTTAAGGAACTTCACAACTTCTGAATAGCTAGATATTGCAAACTAAACTCATAAATATACTTTGATAGTTCCATACAAGTTTCTTAATAAAAACTGTTCTAGTAAAAATTGACAGTTGAAAACTTGAAAATACAAATGTTTGAATATTGTCAATAATATACTTATACCTTTTATAAATATACAACCGTTGTTATTTGAACCTTTGTGAAAAGAAATCTACAATACAACTGTTTCTAATCAGCTTTAGTATAAAGAAGACATACCTAAAATGAAAAGAGAAATTGATTTTCTTCTCCATTGAAAATGACCTACAAATTCATTTCCTCTTCTTCTATCTCCTTGTACGTTTTCTCAAAGACAGGAGTATTTTAGCTTCTAGCAAATAAAAGATAAATAGAAGTCTAAATGCTTCAATTTCAATATCTATAGTTTGTTTATAACCAAATGAAGATTGTTGTATGTTATTGTAGTACATGTTCAGGTGCAAATGCTTTTCTTTCAATTTCTATCGCTCTAAACTGAAAAAACAACTGTCTTTTGTCCTTTTTTCTTCCTTTATCTCGTGAAACGCTTCTCAAATACGAAAGACTTTTAGCTGTTGGCAAATAAAAGATAAATATAGAGGTCAAGTGCTTCACTTTCAATTTGTATCGCTCGTTGTAAACTTTTTTATGTTGGTTTTTCGTGTTTTTCCCATCACAGTAAATTACAACGTGATTGCTTTCTCGTAATATTAACATGCTCAGGTCCAAATGATTCGTTTTAATTTTCATCGCTCGTTCATTTAAATCTTTTGCTTTCTCGTGCTCTTCCATATTACTGTAAACCAATCCTACATTGTTGTACGTTGACGCAATATTAACATGCTCAGGTCCAAATGATTCGTTTTAATTTTCATCGCTCGTTCATAAAAATCTTTTGCTTTCTCGTGCTCTCCCATTTTTCTGTAAACCAATCCTACATTGTTGTACGTTGACGCAATATTAACATGGTCAGGTCCAAATGTTTTTGCTTGAATTTCTATCGCTCTTTCATAAAAATCTTTTGCTTTTTCGTACTCTCCCATATCTTTGTAAACTGAACCGAGATTGTTGTACGTTATCGCAAAAATAACATGATCAAGTTCAAATGTTTTTGTTTCAATTTCTATCGCTCGTACATAAAAATCTTTTGCTTTTTCGTACTCTCCCATTTTTCTGTAAAGTGAACCCAGATTGTTGTACGTTGTCGCAATATTAACATGGTCAGGTCCAAATGTTTTTGCTTGAATTTCTATCGCTCTTTCATAAAAATCTTTTGCTTTTTCGTACTCTCCCATTTTTCTGTAAAGTGAACCCAGATTGTTGTACGTTATCGCAAAAATAACATGATCAAGTTCAAATGTTTTTGTTTCAATTTCTATCGCTCGTTCATAAAAATCTTTTGCTTTTTCGTACTCTCCCATTTTTCTGTAAAGTGAACCCAGATTGTTGTACGTTGTCGCAATATTAACATGGTCAGGTCCAAATGTTTTTGCTTGAATTTCTATCGCTCTTTCATAAAAATCTTTTGCTTTTCGTACTCTCCCATTTTTGTAAAGTGAACCCAGATTGTTGTACGTTATCGCAAAATAACATGATCAAGTTCAAATGTTTTGTTTCAATTTCTATCGCTCGTTCATAAAAATCTTTTGCTTTTTCGTACTCTCCCATTTTTCTGTAAAGTGAACCCAGATTGTTGTACGTTGTCGCAATATTAACATGGTCAGGTCCAAATGTTTTCGTTTCAATTTCTATCGCTCGTTCATAAAAATCTTTTGCTTTTTCGTACTCTCCCATTTTTCTGTAAAGTGAACCCAGATTGTTGTACGTTGTCGCAATATTAACATGGTCAGGTCCAAATGTTTTCGTTTCAATTTCTATCGCTCGTTCATAAAAATCTTTTGCTTTTCGTACTCTCCCATTTTTCTGTAAAGTGAACCCAGATTGTTGTACGTTGTCGCAATATTAACATGGTCAGGTCCAAATGTTTTCGTTTCAATTTCTATCGCTCGTTCATAAAAATCTTTTGCTTTTTCGTACTCTCCCATTTTTCTGTAAAGTGAACCCAGATTGTTGTACGTTGTAGCAATATTAACATGGTCAGGTCCAAATGTTTTCGTTTCAATTTCTATCGCTCGTTCATAAAAATCTTTTGCTTTTTCGTACTCTCCCATTTTTCTGTAAAGTGAACCCAGATTGTTGTACGTTGTCGCAATATTAACATGGTCAGGTCTAAATGTTTTTGTTTGAATTTTTATCGCTCGTTCATAAAAATCTTTTGCTTTTTCGTACTCTCCCATATCTTTGTAAACCAAACCCAGATTGTTGTACGTTGTCGCAGTATTAACATGGTCAGGTCCTAATGTTTTTGTTTCATTTTCTATCGCTCGTTCATAAAAATCTTTTGCTTTTTCGTACTCTCCCATTTTTCTGTAAAGTGAACCCAGATTGTTGTACGTTATCGCAATATCAACATGGTCAGGTGAAATGTTTTCGTTTGAATTTCTATCGTTCGTTCATAAAATTTTTTTGCTTTTTCGTACTCTCCCATATCACTGTAAACTATACCCAGATTGCCGTACGTTGCCGCAATATTAGGGAGTTTTAGCAAGAGTACGAGTACGAGTACGAGTACGAAATTTGACCGTGTAAGGGAATGGCACGAGGAAGTTTGTTGTCGTTGTCGCTTCGTCAAAATTTTGCTTTAGTTGTAAACAACAGAACGAGCCTTTTTATTGTGTAAAACACCGACGTTTGCGAAGCAGCTACGGCTCTATTTGACAATAATGATATCAAAGAATCGATAATACTGGTTTTGCGAGAATATAGGACTCTTTAGACTGAAAAATCTTCACTATTTTAAGTTTTATGTACGATATATTTGCACTATTTTATTGTTTGTTTACCTTTCACTTTGCGTACGAAATACATGAAAGTTTTGCAGGTCATATTTTCCTTTTTAATATACATCTGCGCTCAAAAAGAGTTCTAAATTAAAGCCTGGATGCTCAAAAATAGTACTGTAAACTAATTTCTTACAGAATGAAGAAATATACCTCACTTTCTTTGCTTAAAAAGACATCGTAGTCGCGACTACGAATTTTTTACAAAATATCGTACTCAGATTGATGACGGCTACTTGTTTTTGTTGACGCAACAATGTTTTCGCGCCAAAATGACGTAAATCGTACTCGTAGTCGTACTCGTAGGCTCTGCTAAAACTCCCTATTAACATGGTCAGGTCCAAATGTTTTTGCTTGAATAAACATTGCTCGCTCGATAAAATCTTTAGCTTTTTATATTCTCCATTCCTCCAAAGCAATAAACCCAGGTCGTTGTACGAATATGAAACATCAATATGATCAACACCTAACACTTTAGTTTGAATTTCTGTTATTTCATAAAGTACTTTAGTTGCAAGTTTATAGTTGCAAAATCTTTCCAAAACATGCACAAAATATTTGGCAAGTTTCCAATTTCTTTTATCAAGTTTTTGTTTTGATGATTTTACATCGATCAACTTATTTAGGAAATGTTGAAATGATGAATTTGTTATGAATTTCATTAGATGTGGAATTATTTTGATGTCATCTTCTCCGTCTTCGAAATGATTAGGTGCCCAAGCAACTTGACAGGCAAAATCAGCTGCAGACTCTTTAGAATTATTTTTGTTTTGTTTACAGCCAAAGGTCTGCGATGAATAATTTATGATGGCTTCGTGTACAACGCTGTGCAGGCGGATGTCGTTGTTTTCCGTTTGAAGGAATAAAGAACAATGCTTTAATTGAAGACAGACTTCTTCTGCAGATATTTTTGGATCAATGCTTCTAATAAATTGTATTATAACATCTTGTGGTAAGGGATCGGAAGATATTATTGAGAAAAGTTTAAAAACATGTTTCAACAAGATGGATTCTTCGGCATTTTGTGTACTGCTAACATAACAGTTTTCATTCCCAAGTAAGATGTGTTTATTTTTTGAAAATTGCCATCCATGTTCTGTCGCTCTCCTTCATTCAACTTATCAAAATATTGCTCCCACGTGAATGTCGGATTTACACTTTTTACACTACCTACGTAGGAAGCAGCATTTGCCAGGAACAACGGTTGACGATCTAATTTGTCAGATAAATCCTTTAAATATTTTTCATCGTGATTTGAAATATCATAAAAGACATATAGAAGTTGTCGACATTCTTCATTGTTCATACCATGACTGACTGAAATGTGTTTATTTAGGTTTCCATCTGGTGGTATAGCATCTGTATTTTGAACAGTTACTATAATTTGACCATTTTTCCAGCTATGATCACCAACTTGAGGTAATAATGGATAAATTTTATCAAGTTCAACCACGTTATCTACAACAATCCACCATGTTTGCCAAGATTTCAGTTGTTGCGTCAGCAATAATTGAAAATCTTTAATTTTGCCTTCGCTGCTTTTTGCTTCTTTCAGAATATTTTTAATGACAGTTTTATCATTGTTAAAGCGTTGACAAAGTTCATCATAAGTTTTTAAAAGTGAGTCAGCATCATTTCCTTCTAGTGTCATCACAAATGTTGTTTTATGTTCCCAGTCTACTGACTTAAACATATCTTCGCAAATTTGTCTAGCTAATTGAGATTTACCACTGCCAGGATTACCAGAAATATAGTAATATGTTAGTTCATTATTGTTAGTACTGCGCAAGTTATTGAGATCTGCTGTGATTTGATTAAGTAATTCTTTACGTATAACAATGCCATGATTTGGTTTGCAAGGAAGTACTTGAAAAGAAATAAATTTGTTTCGTTAACATTTTATTTTATTAATTTTATTGAATAAAAATGCTAGATCTTTAAATGACTTTTCGATATCACAAAGCATTTTGTCAAATTCGGTATCAGATACTCTTCCTTGATTATCATGGGTAAATTTGTTTCTTACAATACGAAGTGCATTAAAGGTAGATCTAACTTTTGGGTCAGTTTTTGTTCCAATTGAGTTGGAAAACAGTATTGCTGCGAATAGTGTTGTACAATCCCAATGACTGGTGTCACCCTCTTGAAACTTTGACAGAATATGTTTGTCATGAGGTTTCTTTTTTGTTTTTTCAATATTGAACAACTTCTGACCACTAACATTTGTATTATCCCATATTCCGTAATTAATGTTCCACTCTTGCATAAATAACTCAGCAAGTTTCTTCGTAACAACATCTGTAAGTATTTTTTGCATGTAGAAGTTATTAAGTTTTTCTCTTGACTGCATCTAAGGGTCGTAAAATTATTAATGTCAACATAAATTGGTACTTTAAATAGAGTTTATAGACAACTAAAATTGTGGAAGATCAAACATAGCTACGTAATGTTACAGTTTTACTTGTACCTGTAAATAAATATCAAGGATGGCAGCTGAAAACTACGCAATTGGACATTTTAGTTTTCCTGCAATTTGGCATTTGGCTACATTTTGGTAGTGGCGTCGCCAGGATTTTGCGAGTGTGTGTGTGTGTGTTAGGGGGCACAAAATTTGTACCACGTCATTCGCTAGAGAAATGACCCTAAAAATTTCTTCTGCACTGAAAATTTTGGAAATATTTATCACAACATGAATAATTTTTAATTTCTTAACTTCCCAGTTTAACCTTGGCGGATTTGTACATTCTTCGTGTTATAACGTTACGTAGATTAATTATTGATTTTAATGAAATGTTTTCATATTATAATACTTCCAGAATTGCAATATTTTCATGAGCCTTACTCTTAGTCATTGCTATATTTTGTATTTTTGTGTCTACAAGTTTGTGTCTACGAGTATACTTGTCCACGATTTTATACAACTTCTGTGATATGGTGTAATGTGGTTTATGACAAGCATCACAATATTACTTGTTCTTCCTTGCCTACTAAAGACTTGAATTATTCTAGAATTAAGGTTTTTTTCCTTTTTATGAAATTAAAATCTTCACCACTCGGCCAGCAACCCAGAAAGGGTAAATGCAACGCAAACTAGTCTACACAGCTAAGAGAATGCTTCCCTTTACAGTAAAAATGTGCGAATTCCGTAAGAGCTATATTAATGCCATGTGCTCCTTTTTCAATTTAAAATGATGCATATGAACACTCTTATATAAAATTCTAATGGTGAGCACTTGGGGGGCACAGCCAATTTTTAGGGGGGCACGTGCCCCCTTTCCAGCAACCCTTTAGCGACGCCACTGCATGTTATAATGAAAATGGAGGTACTGAGTTATATTATCACTTAGGAAGGTGTTT